ATTGGCTTGAATTTAGATAGCGTCTAATGTATAATTATTTATATTATATGTATTAATATATTGGTCCACATATGGAAATCTCCCAACAGGAACTTCTTAGGACTAGCATAATGAAAATTAAATATATTATTTATAATTTTATGGCTTTGTAATTAATAATTATCATTTAGTGTTGGTGAATATTAAGTATATATTGTAATGTTATAGCTTTAAGTATCATCAATAATTAGTTAAAAGGATGTTATATAGATGAAGGAGAAAGTAACTCCTAAAGTTTCAAAAATTTTAGGTGATTTATCCAATGCAAGAATATTATGCAGATCTATGTTCAATTTGAAATATCATTTCTCCTAAATTATTTTTCAAGTATAAATAATTTTAGTTGATATAAGAGATGTGATAACCAAATTCTAATTTTGTCACATGAATCTTCTCTATGGCTCCATGAGCATACGGATTTACATTTGGAAAAGCTTATAATTCTATTTTTGGGTGTCATGGTTTTGTTTCTTATAGCATAGGAAAAGTTGAACACCAACATAGCTTTATTATGTGAAGCCTTAAGTAGTATTAGAAAATTACAGTTTGACCAAGGATTTATATGAGTCATGGTGGTGGGACAATGAAGATTCTGACAATCAAGTGTCTAAAATGAGAAATTTAAGATTCGTGTTTGAAAAGATTAGTGAAAGTTGAATGGGAATTGATTAAAGATAGAGTAGGAATAACATTAATGAAGATAAGACAATGAAAGATAAATTTAGATTTTTTGAGCATCTATATTATAAGGTAGAAAATGAACTAATAAGATATATTGAGGAAATAGCACAGATGTACTAGGAAGGAAAATGGTAGATCAAAGATAAAAAAAATTGAAGTCAAGCCAAAAGCCCAAATTGTTTGTGCAAAATAGATTTAATATCTCATATATCATTCAAGAAGAATGATGACCAACAATGTTTCACTAAGCTAAACCCAAATACTTGGATAAGAGAAATGATAATGCGGATGACAATAATGAACTATGATGTTGAGTATTATTTAGCATTGTCTATCTTAAAATATGAGAGCATTGAAATTTTAGAAAGGAGAGGGTCTTTGGTGGATCTACAGTGGGAGCCTTGGGGGCTCCTAGCCCATCAAGAAAGTAATAAAAATTCCACTAGCCTATCAAGAAAGTAATAAAAAGCCCACTGATGTAAAACTATCATGAAATGTCGTGAGAATTGCACTTGAAATTAAATAATATATTGAATCAAGTTTGACACTAAAACTTTTATGCGTTATCAATTGAAGTTCAAGGATTAAAATATGAATGATTAAATAACAACAAGAAATTACAGTACGAGATTTGAAAGCTTTTCAAAATAACATAAAAAATATCAAGTATTGCAAATGGCTAAAATACCAAAGCCCCAAATTTAAAATTTAGACCCTTCACCTTAGACACTAAAACTTTTATGCGTTATCAATTGAAGTTCAAGGATTAAAATATGAATGATTAAATAACAACAAGAAATTACAGTACGAGATTTGAAAGCTTTTCAAAATAACATAAAAAATATCAAGTATTGCAAATGGCTAAAATACCAAAGCCCCAAATTTAAAATTTAGACCCTTCACCTTAGGATCCGTCACTCAATTTGAGGTGGAGGTTAGCGGAAGAGAACCGTGAGCAGGCTTAGCGACGCCACTAGTAGACAGGTGACCTTGAGAGGACTTGTCGCCGGGTTGGAAGTCGGGTTCGAAGGAGCGGATGGACGGCCTTCGATGATCCACGTATAGACGGAGAAGGAAAAAAAAAATAGGGGCGGCGGCAGGGATGGAGGGGCCGGTGAACTGGATTGGTCGGCGGTGGCTGGATGGGGTTTTGGGCCGGCGGGAGGGAGAATTGGCTGGGGCCGGCCGGGAGGGCTTTTGCTGGGTCGGGATGGCTAGTGAGGCCAGCGGCTTGGCCAGGACAGGATGGCCAGAGAGGCCGTCGGCTTGGCTGGGCTCAATGGAGGCGGCAATGGATGAAGGGGAAGGCCTGTTTGAAGAAACCTGAGAATTTCCTCGCCTTAAATTTCTGCGTTTCTCACCTTCACACTACAAGCATGAATTAAGTCTAGAACTCACGGAGAGATCTAGTTCTCCCTTTGAACTCACTAAGAGATCAAAGGGAAATGCACTCACAAAGAGAACAAAGGGGGATAAATTTCATTTCATCAAAAACTAAAAATTACAATGCATCATGCCTCATATATGGAGGCTCCAAATGAAAAAAAAAAGAAAAGACAATAATGCCCTCGGGGCTACATAAGTCAAACAATGCCCTCAGGGGCAAACTCGGAAAAACTAATAAAACAAAATGACATAAGCTATAAACTCAAAAGTAGAGGCTCTGGATCGTAGCCGTCGATCTGCGCCGTCGACGATGGTACACGTGTCGAAATCTGATGTCCCCATCACCCACAGTCCACAAAAATTTATTTTAGAAATTTTGTTTTTAACATAACAACCTTTTAAATTCAAAAAGATGACATACCTGTGGATTGAACACAGAACCTCTAAATGTGAAACTAACGCCTTATCAATTAGGCCAATGAGTGACTCTACTCTATGGTTTTTAAAATATTTTGCTTAAATTATAATTAAATCTGACTAATTATTTCCATCTAAAGTTTGCATAACAATATATATAAATATAAATATATAAATATAAATATAAATATATATGTTATAATTTTTTTATAAAATTAACACTTAAATATTTAAAGTGAAATAAGATAATCATAAATTTATGTGTAATACAAATAATATAATTTATAATATAGAATGTAATAATTTATTAAAAAAAAATATTGATATTCTTGAAAGATCAAAATATTATTTCATTATGAACTATTAAATGAAAAGTCAAATGCAATTATCCTAAAAAGAATGAGTATTTTAAAAATCACGAATTTGTGCACTCTCCTAATAAAATTTTTTGGCTCTGCCCTGGAGGGGGTGTTTCATGTGATGCTATCATGTCGTCCTGTGCAACTTCTGAAGCATTAGATCTTTATTTTTACAAGCATTTAAATAATAGTTGTAGTATGGCATTACCCCTGACTTTGGAAAATCTGTTTTCACTGTTGGCCATCTTAATGTTTCCAAACCATTCGTTTCAGGAACCAAAAGGTTCTCTGATCCTTCTTCTGCCTACAGGGCTCCTTTATGATTTATTACTATGAAGCCTGGAACACTTTCATCTTCCTCATAATCACTAAATTTCTGAGATTTGTTTGATGCAGCTGGGTGAACTCTTCTTGTGAAACTCAGGATTTTTTTAGTAACAGATAGGGAGAAACAATTACTTATTGGGTTTTGCTAAACTAGTGCCATATGAAAAAGTCTACAATCAGTAAAAATGCAAAATATATGCGTTTGAGGAGCAACTGAAAGAATGAACTTTAAATTTGATGTTTTTATTTTATTTTATTTTATTAAGAATTTAATTTCAATCAGAGTTTGTTTGTAGATGTTACACTGGTAGTAAAGCCACAGGTGGCTCACCTGTCTTTGTAGCGCTACCCTTGGTTCCTTTTACCATAGCTATGTCCTTAGAGCTTTTTAAAGTTTATTGGATTAAGTTTCATTAGATTTCCCGTTCATTTAATTGCGTGAACCTTCTTGGCTCTACAGTGGCATCTCTATTCTTTTGGAGATGGAGTTGAGCAATAGTTATCTGATAATGGTGGTAGAATTTGTTTATTGTGCCTTCAATTATCCATTTCCATCAAGGATCGCTTTTTTGTTGCAATGTGTACATGTTGTGGTCATTCCCTTTTTGAAATTTGCAGTGGGAGAAAGGATTGATGACATTTTATGGCAGCTTTTCTGAGTCCTTTGGTGATCTTCCCGCGGCATGACTTCTCTGCTATACTTATGATTTGGTTGGCTAGATTTTCTTCTCTTCTTTAGGGATTCTAGGGTAAATTCTTCCTTTATGTTGTTTTCGGTTTCATGAGGAATTTCAATGACTTTGTGATTATTAATAAGGTTTTGAGGCATATATAAAAACTCTATCAAAAATTTTTTTTTGAATAAAACTGTAGGTTTGATACTACTATTTTTGGGAGGCAACTCCTTGATCAAATCAACAACTTCAAGATTTTTAAGAGATGTTATCTCCTTGTACAAATAAGAGACTTAACTTTTCTGTGAATTTTCTTTTTTTGCTCATTCAAAATTTTGTTATTGAAATGATTGTTTGATTAATTTTATTCAAATTTGATTACAATTTTGTTTTCAACAATTCTATAAATTACAATTTGTTGTCCAGCTTTCTTGAATATAAATTTCTATCCATTATTTATATAAGAAGTCTAATGGATTTTGTCTGAGTTATTTTCCTTTATATTTCTGTACTTTCATTGAAAATAGTGAATATTTGTTAAAATATTAAGAATTTGTCACCATGAAGTGAATTTTATTTGCTTTTGATATGACTCTCCATATCTCATATAGATCTACGGTAACCCTTGATCTTCAGACGTTGGATATTTGCAAGAGACTAGTTTGAAAGATCTGTTTTATTGTTCTCTCCCTTTGAGTCCCTTATGCCATAGGACACCGTACTGAGTAAGTCCTGCTTCAATTCATTCTCCACACAATCTCACAACTTGCATGAAAACTTGATCTGTTTTTTTCTTGAAGCTAACGAAGAATTTATTTCCATTAAACATTTTGCCATTGGCTCTATCAGTATGAAACCAATTACTCAAAAAGTAATCTATAATATCTACTTCCAAATGTTTTAATATGCTCTGAACTCCTGGTACCTGTAACTTTAGAGTGATTTCCATAAGAATTCCATAAGCATTTCTTATTTGGATATAAATTTGATGGTTTCTTTTTTTATCTTTTAGTGCTTCTTTTCTTGTGATAGAGCCTATGATGATTGCCTTTTTTATCGTTATCAAAGAGTAAACTTGTTAGTTATTGATATTCTGCAATTTCATATATTGAGCAAGGTGAGGGCAGGGATTGAAATGGCACTTGTAGATGCTGTTGCAAATAGCTTGCATATACCTCTATGGAAACTATTTGGTGGTGCCTCAACATCCATTGTCACTGATATAACAGTAATGTTCTTTTCTTGAACACTTTTCTTCTTCCAAATGGTACTATATTATTTAATATATTTTACAACTTCAATGTTACCTTACTGGAAAATGCAGATTCCAATTGTTGCTCCAAATGAAGCAGCTAAATTAGCAGCAGAATATAAGGAACGAGGTTTTAACACTTTGAAGCTTAAGGTGGGAAAAAATTTAAGCTCGGACATAGAAGTATTAAAGGCCATACGACTAGTTCACCCTGATTGCCTTTTTATACTTGATGCAAATGAAGGATACACAGCTAATGAAGCAATTGAAGTACTTGAAAAACTTAATGGTAGGCAGTGTCAAGTATAATAATTTCTTTCTTTCTTGTCTCAATCTTTCTTCCTCTTACATACACTGAGCAATGAGCTCATTAAGACTCCATTTATCCTTTTGAGTATTATAACTTATCTTACAAGAATTGAATTGTGCAGGAAAAGAGACTAAGAATAGATGCATAAGAATGTCATTAGATAAGTCTAACTTTAATGCTCTTACTCATATAACAAGATTAGACATTTTTATAATGTACTCCCTTATGTTTCATTTGTCTTTATACCGCATTAAAACAAGTTTACTAAGAATAGTATTTATTTTGACGTTTTGAGAACCTATAAAACAATATGCTATTTAGCTTAGGAACTTTTTAACATTTTTCTCCTCAGGCATTGCACCTCTTATGGTATATGGAATAGAATGATTTTAACCAACCTTCCAGTTCTCAAACAATCTTGCATAGGCATAACATCTAGTAATCCTTAAGGCTATGTAAGAGTGTATTACAAGTTTAATATCTGTGGTTGACATCTGTTTGCTTCTAATTCTATAATGCTACCGTGGTGTTTTGTTTCAGAAATGGGGGTCAAACCAATTCTCTTCGAACAACCAGTTCATAGAGATAACTGGGAGGGTCTTCGTCATGTTTCTCAAGTAGCAAAAGGAGAATATGGTGTTTCTGTTGCTGCAGATGAAAGCTGTAGGAGTCTGGAAGATGCAAAGAGAATCATTGAAGGAAATCTAGCTCATGTTATCAACATAAAGTTGGCCAAGTTGGGCGTGCTTGGCGCTCTTGATGTAATTGAGGTTGCTAGAGCTGCAGGTACTGAGCTTATGATTGGTGGCATGGTTGAGACGAGACTTGCAATGGGATTTGCTGGTCATCTAGCAGCTGGCTTGGGTTGTTTCAAGTGAGAACCTAGAAATATCATTTCAGCACTTTTGATTGAAGTAAAAAAAGAAAATGATTCCTTAAGGAAAGCCATTTCTTTATTTTCAATGTTTATTTTATCAATACCTATTATATTTATGTGAATTTTTTTGGTGGCTTTTATCTCATGTAGGTACATTGACCTTGATACACCTCTTCTTCTATCAGAAGATCCAGTACTTGGTGGTTATGAGGGTATGTTTTCTTTTGAATTCTTGGTCTTTGCAAATACATTCGATTTTCTTTCTGATTTAGGTTTCGTTTGGGACGATTTTCTTCCTGCTTCTTAAAGCAACTTTTTAGTTAAAAATTTTAATTTTTATACTTGAAAGCTGTTTTAAAAAATAATAAGAAAGTTGTCCCAAACATAGCCTTGATAAGGCGTATTGAGAAGTGCTATGGTTAGCATGTTCAATATCCATTTTATTTTCTTTTAACCCATTTTCTTCTTTACAGTTACTGGTGCTGTTTACAATTTCACTGACTCAAGTGGTCAAGGTGGTTTTCTACATTGGGATGGGATTTGTTAGTTAGGTGCCTCTGTATTATGCCAAACATTTTCAGAACTTTATCACGAAGGTTTTCTTTGAGATTACTTTTTTACTGCTTCTTAAAGCAGAGTTTTAGTTCAAAAATTAAAAGTTTTATACTAGAAATTTGTTTTAAGAAGCAATAAAAAAGTGGTTCCAAACGAAACCGAAATCTCTCAAAAATGGCTTATGACACAGTATATGGTGATTATCATTCTAAAATGTTGTAAATTTAGAAACCTTGAATTGTGAGTCTTGGATTGAACATTCTTGAGAGACATCCTATGATTCATCCTCGTTCTTTGAAATGAAAAACTGGAGCTATGCTTCTATCTAAAGCTTTGTTTGGGATAACATACTTTGTTTTATTTTGTTTTTTATTAATAATATCTTATGCAACTTTAAATTTAAACTTATTTAATTTTTTAATTTAATTCAAATTTAATAAAAATTCAGCTTACATATAAATTTATAAATTTAACGTAAATCATTATTAATTCATATTATATGCTCAGATATAATTTATTCCTATAATATATTAAATTCATATTATAAATTAGTAAATAGTAATACATAAATAAATAAATAAATTTTATAATACATAAATAATAACTGAAATATATAGGTTATTTAACATTATTAATAAAAATAAATGCTATTCACATCATAAAAAATTTACTTAAAAAATATATTTTAAAATATATAGTGTATGTTATAAACTTAAGAAGTAAGAACTTCAACTTACTTATTCTCACATCACTTGAGAACTTCCTCTTGGTAATGTATATATAAGGTAATTTTTAAATTTATTAATATGCTACAAATTACAATATATTAATTTGCTGCAAATTACAAAAAAATTAACTTTGTCATATTTGATTTAATTTTTTTTTTCTTTCAAGAAAAATGTTTCAAGTTATTAAATTTACAGAGGTCAATAAAGGAAACCCTTGGCTTACAGTACAAAAAAAAAAAAAAAAAGCATTGCAATTTCTATTGACACATCAAAATTAAATAAATGGTGTTAGGAAAATGGCTCAATCTAGAAAGGAACTGTAGAATAATTCTTTGAAGGAATTAGGATGCCATAAATTTTAATAAAACCGTATGGCTTCTTAAATAATGGTGTGTTACATACTCTGGAAAAAAAAAAATTTATTTGGATATTTACCACATCAAAGAGGCTAGTTCGGCGTTTCGTCTTGTCGGGACTGTTCTGCCTAAGAAAATATTTCTGAGCATGGCTGGCAACTTGGGTTGGAGTCCTCGTAATTACAAAATTGCGAGAAATACCACACCAGTATCCTTTTCCAAGTTTCTCTAACCCAGCAAGGAAAATATTTGTTCTTGAGATGAAATTCACCTAAATGCACGGTTTTAGTTGAGGAATTCATACAGTATGCGTTATCAGATGTTAATAAACATGGAATAATGTTATTTTCTTGCCAACGATTTATTTTGCATCTGCTTGGGTGTCGGGAGATGGATAAATACAGACTCCTACAGATTTGGCACCAAGAATTGTTAGGGTTGATGTCATCACCAATAGAAGCTTGCCACTATTTTGCTGTGTTTTTAAAATCGGACGGGATCATCCAGTTTGACCTGTTCAACCGTGAATAGTCCATTTGCTTATTTGATCAAGTTGGAACACCGGATTTGCATTGAACTGGTGTGAACCTGTTTGAACCACCGGTTCAACTGTTAAACTATCGAACTGGTTCCGATTTGATTGAACCGGTCGGTTCAATAAATATTATCTCTTATTTAAATAAAATTTCAAAATAATTTAAATATATATTTAAAGGCATATGCTTTATGCAAATAAATTTAATCAAAACATAAAGCTACTAGCTTGCAACATCATGCAACTTTATTTGTTTCTTATGGTTTATGCTTTACACCATATAAAGAGAATCACTTAAAATTCCCCTATGACGTGAGACTAAAAACCTGTGAGAATTTTGCATGGGTTAAACTATCAAATTACTCGGGATGTAAATTTGGGTTGAGAATGCGTATAATTTATTAAAGTTAATAACACAGTTTTTTTCATATTATAAAACATATATATTATTTTAAATATTTTATTATTATTCTTATTAAAAATTATATTTATATTTATACATTTATATATTAAATTTTTAAAATTTTGAAAAATATATTTAATGGTCATATATTTATATTTATAATATATATATACTTATATTCATATTAATTGCTAGTTAAGCTTCTTATCATACTTTATATCTCTTTTGTTGAACTTGTTCAATAGTCTTAATTGAGTTAATTATATATATTCATTTAAAAAAAATATTTGTTATATAATTAATGTTATAATTGTATAATTTTAATATTTATTATGTCTAGAACCATTGAATCTTAAACCTCTAGTTTTTTCAGTTCTATACCTAATTTGATTTTCACTACCTTGCATTATACTCATAATTAAAAAATCAAGCCTCATTTCAAACTCATATGTCCTACATGTGTTTGAAGGGATAACATGAGAGCATTGTCGAAGTTATTAACTTGTAACAATGTGCAGCAAGAGGGGGTGATTGTTTGATCAATCGAACAAGGAGACCACCAAGAAAGCTACTTAGAGGTTGAGGTTCAAGTAGTAATATGTTAATTCACTTGTTTGTGAGAAGCTTAAGCTAAAAACAGAGAAATAAGAAACTCAGAATGAAGAAGAAGAAGCTAACATTAATTACTCTAGCTCATGTTTTCCATTGTATTGAATAAGTCAATTTACATAGCATTATATAATCACAATGGAAAGATAAGTAGTTAGAAAATCAGTGTTTATTAGAAAACAGACTGAGCCACTCAGTAGAATAACATGAATAAAACTAGTGGAGCCGCATGCATTAGTGGTCCTCCAATAAGTGATGGCACGTGTAACATCCCCCCTCAAGTTAACAATCTAGATGTTGGATTGTTAATTTGTCATGTAAAGATTGGAAGTGAGAAATAGGCAGTGGCTTGGTGAGAATATCAGCAGGCTGATCAACTGAGGTGATGTGAAGTAGCTAAATAGCATGTGACTAGATATGTTGATTGATAAAGTGATGATCAATCTCAATATGCTTCGTCCTAGCATGAAAGACTGGATTATGAGCCAGTGTCATGGCAGATGTATTGTCGCAGAAGATTTTAGTAGCAGAAGACTGAGGAGCTTGTAGTTCACTGAGAAGACAGCGGAGCCAAATGACATCCGAAGTAGCTGAAGCTAGAGCACGATATTCAGCCTCAGTAGATGATTTTGCAACAGTGGGCTGCTTTTTAACACACCAGGAGATTAAATTGGGACCAAGAAACGTAGAAAATCCAGCATATATTTACGATCAATTATATCAGCAGCCCAATCAGCATCAACATAAGTAGAAATAGAAAGACTGTCGCGGAGCAAAGGAAGTCCATATGTAAGAGTACCTTGAAGATACCTTAGTATATGTTTGAGTGCTTGGTAATCGTTATTGGTTGGAGCATGCATGCGTTGACAGGAATTATTGACATCAAACATAATATCTGGTCTAGTAATGGTCAAATATTACAATGAGCCCATCAATTTATGAAACAGAGAAGGATCAGAGAAGGGATCATCCAAAATCTTTTGCTGTGATGAGTGTGGAGACATTGGGGTCGGTGCAGGTTTATAGTTTGCAAAACCTGATTATTGAAGTAACTCCTTGATGTAGTAAGTTTGGTGAAGAAAGTAACCATCCAGTGTTCTAGAAAACTGTATACCAAGGAATATAGACACATTACCCAACTATTTGAGAGAAAATGTTGACTTTAGCTTGTCTAAAAGCTGCTATAGCAGTTGAGAATTGTTACCCACCAATAGAAAATCATCCACATAGATAAGCAAATAAAGATGCGTTGTGGCTGTAGAATAAATAAATAGAGCTAGATCTGATTTACTAAGATGAAAACCAAAATCAATTAGAAAGTTTGTAAGCTTTGTATACCACTGCCGAGGTGCTTGTTTAAGATCATAAATGGCCTTATGAAGCTTACAAACATGATGTGGAAATTGAACATCAACAAACCTCGGTGGTTGTTTCATGTAAATATCTTCAGTGAGATCACCATGTAAAAATGCATTTGAAATGTCAAGCTGCAATACTGACCAATCTCGAATGAGTGAAATAGTAAGAAGAATTCTTATGGTTGGCATTTTTGCGACTGGACTGAAACTCTCTTGAAAATTAATACCATACTCCTATTTGAACCCTTGAGCTATAAGATGATCCTTGTATCTATCTAACTGACCAGTGAGTTTGAGTTTATGTTTATAAATCCACCGAGAACCAAGAATTGTGGCATTTGGTGGAGGTGGAACCAAGGACCAAGTCCTTTGGTTTTGTAGAGCACTAAACTCAGCACACATAACATCGTGCCACCCTTGATATTTCACTGCTTGATTGTAACTAGTGGGAGTTGGCAGCATAGAAGCAGTGACAAATAAATCAAATATTTTTTTTGGCTTTGTAATGCCAGAACGGAGTCTAGTTTGCATAGAGTGGAACATTTAACTTGTAGCAATTGGCGGTAGCAGGGCATTGTTGGGAGAAGTTGTAGTGGGAGTAGAATGCTGAGGTGAAGTTGATTGTGGTAAGGAAGATGTAGGAGAAGAAATGCGACCAGGAATGGTAGTAGAATGTGGAGCTGTAGAAGTAGGAGCAATTGTGGAGGAGGGTATTAAGAGAAAATAAGAAATTGAGGAATCAATAATTGAAGATTGTGGTGAACTTGAGATAGAAGAATAAGGAAAAAAATGTTCATGAAAAACGACATGACATGAGATGTGTAATTTTTTAGTACTCATATTAAGACAACGATATCCCTTATGAGCTGCAGAATATCCAAGAAATAAACACTCACTAGATCTAGGATACATTTTGCTAGGAGATAGGGTTTAAGCCAGGGAAAACACAAGCATCCAAAGACTCTAAGGTGATTATATTCTAGACTGCGATTGTAGAGCAATTTATAGGGATTTTGAAGATTTATAGATTTGGAAGTTATACGGTTGATAATATAGTTGGAAGTTTGTAAAGCTTCGGCCCAAAACTGATATGGTAAACTAGCTTCATGTAGCAAAGTACACGTAGTTTCCAAAAGATGGCAATGCTTGCCCTCAACAAAAACTATTTTGTACGGAAGTATATGGACAACTAAATTGATGTTCAATGCCTTGATTGAGGAAAAATTGTTTGAACAAGTGGCTGGTGAATTCACCACCGCCATATGAGCAAAAAAAAATTAATTTGAGCATTGAAGTCTGTATGAACAAGTTTATTAAATTCTTGTAATTTGGATAATGTCTAATCTTTAAAATGCATGAGGAATATCCAACAATATCGAGTACAATCATCAATAAAGACAACATAATTGCGATAACCATTAAGTGAAAAAATTGGAGCAGGGCCCCATAAATCAGAGTGTATAAGAGCAAAAGGTAGAGTAGTTTGGTTCATAACACGACTAAAGGATAACTTGTGGCTTTTGCCCACATTACAATGAGTGCAAACAAACTAAGAAGAAGGGAAACATAAGGAGGAATTAGTTTGAGCTAAAACACGTAGAACATGTTGATTTGGATGTCCTAAATGAGCATGACAATGATCATGAAGGAGAACTTGATTGTCCAGAAGATCCTTGATCACAAAACCATTAGCATCAAATGAAATAGAACAACAATTATCTGATGTTAATTTGTGAATTGAGAGAAGATTATGTGACGGTGAAGGAACATGTAATAAGTGGCGAAGAAAAAGCTTACGGTTTGTATTTGGACGTGGTAGAATGCCTTGCCAACTATTTTATATGGGAAGTTGAGTTTCGTTTGTAATGGAAACTGAATCAATACCCTGATAAGGAAAGGATTGATGAAGGTTGCTGGCATCAAATGTTAGATGGGTTGAAGCACCTGAATCAAGAACCCATTCTGTGTTGGGTGAAGAAGCTTGTGTGAGCAGAGCACGCAGGGCAGCTGAGTACTGTAAGTTACATCTGTGCCAACATGTAACAACTGTATAACCTGTTTTACCACAAATTTGATAGACATGTCGAGTTACCAGTAATACAGAAGGCGACAGAGGTCTGTTACTAGTGGAAAACTGTTGTCGAGAAGAATTCCCTCGGCCATGATTTGAACGTCCTAAAGCTGAGCATCCATGAAACATTCCTCGAGTGGAATAGAGAGCCAAGTTTTCCATATGTGGTAATGAACTGCTTTGAACTTCATTATGAATATTCACTTCTTCACTACACAGAAGTAAACAAAGTGTGTCTAAACCGATTGGCTGAAGATTGGTTCTTATAGCAGTCTTGAATGCATTATACGTCCGTGGCAGCCCATTGAGAATATGATATATAATATCTTCTACATCAATGTGAGAACCAGCAGCTGCTATGTTGTCTACTATAAATTTAATTTGAGCCAGGTACTGCATCATTGTGCTATCACGCATCTGAACTCGATGAAGTTCATTTTTCAGCTGTATCACCCACGAACTGTTCGTAGGTTGAAGACGAAGCTCCAAGGTGGTCCAGATTTTGTGAGTTGAACCAAGATTAAGAATGTATGGAAGCACATGAGGCAAAATAGTAGACAAAAGAGCAGAGACTAGATTTTGGTCTATCAGACACCATAGACGATAATCCTGATCCGAGGAAGAAGAAGATGAGGCAGATTTGGGAGGACACTTGTTCACCTGTAAGATATTTCTCAAACCCCATTTGCTGAAAAAAGTTTGAAGACTTGAAGTCTCCAAATGACGTAATTCTTAGCAGTAAGTTGAGTATGAACTATCTGTTTCAAATTGTTCATAAGAAACTTCAATGGCAAGGGAATAACAATTTCAACCATGGCTGTCGACATAGATGATGTTTGCTGAGTTGGAATTGGAGTTGGAGCAGAAGAAGCTTGATCTCCCATTGCAAATAACTTGAGGTAAAAGGATGAAAAAAGGAAAGTGTGGTAAAGCTTACAACTCTAATACCATGAGAAGCTTAAGCTAAAAACCTAGAAATGAGAAATTCAGAATGAAGAAGAAGAAGCTAACAATAATTACTATAGCTCATGTTTTCCGTTGTATTGATTAAGGCAATTTACATAGCACTATATAATTACAATGGAAAGAAAGGTAGTTAGAAAATCAGAGTCCGTTAGAAAACAGACTGAGCCACTCAGTAGAATAACATGAGTAAAACTAGTGGAGCCGCATGCATTAGTGGTCCTCCAATAAGTGATGACACATGTAGTCTAACAGTTTGCATAAATATGAGGGTTTATTCTTCATATTTTTATATATGTTTTCTAAAAATTATTTTGGGGATATTTGATCAAATAAAAATATAAGGAACAATAGTCAAAAGTTATACATTATGAGGAGTGTGTAGTAAATTTTTCTTCATAAAAGTTTGGTTAAAAATTATATTTAATTAGATTAATTTCCATTTATTACATCGAAATAAAAAACGGCAAAAACTTTCTTATAAGAATTTCAATTAGAACTTTATATAGTTTTTTTCCACATGCAACCAAAAATAAAGAAAATTTTGAGTTTATATGCGTTGTTGTACTAATACTTGAAAAAATATCCCGACATTTATTTTCTTTGAGAAATATTTCTAAAATTTTATTTCAGATGAAGTTATCTTCTTGTATTCATAAACTAATTATTGAAGCCAATCATAAAAAAATTGGTTGAATTGATTCGATTTCAAAATGTAGATTGAATCTTTTAGTTCAATTCAAATTTGAACGTGGTTCTAACATAGTTCGAACCACATTTAAATTAAGTGTGAACCTTTTCGAACAATGTTTAAATTAAATTTGAACCTAAGTTTGAACTTTTGCTCGATGACGTCCGAACTTCACTAGCAAATACATGTTAGGGTGGAATTTGGGGAAAGACATCATAATACCTTGGAATCTCATTGGGGTAGGCAGCACAAGATGGATTGCTAAGGATGACATCACACGATGGAATAATTATTAGGTCCGGACACTTGACACAGCTCTACATCTGGATGCCAATAACATATCGCCACGTGCTCTTACTCTTTATCGCGCGGCCTGACGACCCGAACCCGGTATTGCTATGTATTGGCTGATTTCTGCAGACTGGGGTATTGCTAGGTATTGTTAGGTATTGCTCGGTATTGCTCGACAATAACGAGAAATACCAATCTGTCAAAATCAATACCGAGCAATATCGAACAATACCTAGCAATACCCCAGTTTAATGTTAAAATTAAGTCCTATATGTTAAAATCAATTTAAAATTCTCCAATATAATACTATCGTAATCATAATAAAATTTCAAATATATATTTCAGAAAAAATAAAAAAGATATTATTTAATTTCGTATATTTTAAGGTATACGTATACCTAATCAAATTTTATAAAATAAGACCTATATTTTAAAATTGTGCGTGATATTTGACTGTTTCGAACGCAGTCCGGCTGGTGAAATTGTAAGCCATGTAGCCCGAACCGAATATAAAAAATAAAAATAAAAATAAAATCTGCAAGTACGTCAGAGATATACCTACTCATTATTATTTTAATTAAAACTTCTTTTCACCATTTTTTAGTCAAACTTTGACCTTCATATAACCGGTCAAATCTGATCACCGCCAACCTTCAAAATGCTTCGATTCAGCCTTCAGCCTCATCTACTTCGTATTTTTCCTCCTCAAATGGTCTTCCTTCCACTCCCCCTCGCCCCTCTCCTCTTCCTCCTCTTCTCCATCCTACCATTCCTCTCTTCTCTTCTTCTTACATCTGTATCCGCCGACAACCGCTACCTCCAAAACTGCCAGCCTCAGAGCTGCGGCAACCTAATCAATGTCAGCTTCCCTTTCTGGTTCCAAAACCTGCAGCCAGACTACTGCGGCTATCCAGCTTTCGAGCTCCGGTGCGAGGATGATACCCCGAAGCTTTCCATGCCAGTAGAAGACTATCATGTCCTCAACATCTCTTATGACAAAAGAACAGTCAATGTTTTAATGGCAAGGTTTGCCTCCAAGGATACCTGCCTTCTTCCTTACTACAACCTCTCCTTCGGCCTCACTCCTTTCACCATCAGCTCACTTAACCGCGAGCTTGTCTTCGTCTACAATTGCTCTGCGGAGAAACCAGGGTTTTTGCAGATCAATTGTCATAACAACAGGAGCTATGCCTATCTCGGAGGAACTTATCGTATTGAGGAGAGCGAGGGTTTATTTGGTTCTTGCTTTTCGGTTGTCATGCCTGTGCTGAGCTCTCCTGAACCTGAGGTTAAAAAATATCCCGAGCTTCTGGCTGATGGATTTCTGCTGGATTGGACTGCACCTGATTGTTCTGAGTGTGTGAAGAGTAATGGGCAGTGCGGGTATAATAATGACACGAGAAATTTCATGTGCATCTGCCCTGATAGACCTCATTGGAAGAGCTGCTGTAAGTCTTCTGCTACAATTTGGTTTGTCATGATTTTTTAATTGTTATAGATGATGCGTTGATTTCTAATTTAAGGTTTAGGGTTTAATTTCCAGGAAGAAGATTCTATGGGAAATTTAAAATGAATCTTAGCGGTTTTTGGTCTTAAATTTTTTGTTTTTAAGAATAAATTTCTATTAGAGATTGTAATTTGCTATTTACAAGAAGGATTTTGTGTGAATAATTCTCTATCTTTGATCATGATGACTTCTTCATACGATTGTATAAGTTTTATTAAAAAAGGTTCACATCGCTTTCGATTTTATGCCGGCGTATAGAACTTATTTTTCTTGGTAACGTCGTAAAGGTTTATTCTTATCCTCAAAATTTCAATACAAAAAAAATTCGGAGCGTTTTTTGTTGAATTTCTAATAGGACTTCATGGTGGGATCTAAGTCCGCTTTTGAGTGCTTGGGTTTGGGTATCTGTTTGATTGGATTTTACATGCTACGGGTAGGCCTTTTTCACCGGGACTTGGTCAATGACATAGTTTAGCTCACAATTTTCAGACCTGTTTTATTTGACTTGAGTGTTTATTGAGAATAGCTAGTCAATGGTTTCCTTGGGGCCGATTTCTAGCCATGTTTTGTTGGTAAAGAGGATTGTGATGTTCCTATCACATGTTGTAAATGGAATATGGATTTCTCTGATGGTTTCGTAATACTAAAACTTTAAGAAATTGATAGAATTTGAGAACATTATTCATTATAACTTAGAGCTTTTAAAGTACATATTTACAAAAAAAGTAATAGTATTTTTTTTTTCATGATAAATTCTACAACAATAACAACAACATTAAGCCTTTATCCCACTATGTGGGGTTGGCTACATGAATCCTTTTTCTCTATTATATCCTATTAAGAGTTAAATTTTTATTTAAATATAATAAAGAAAGGTCATTTCTAATACTTTCTAACCCAATCTCTTCAGGTCTACCTCTACATTTCTTAACATAGGCTAGATCTGATACGTCTTCTCTCCTAACCGGCTCATTGGAAGGCCGACATTTTGTGTGACCAAACTATCTAAGCTTACTCTCTCTCCAACCTTTTCACATATATACTCATTTCACATTCTATCTCTAAGAGTAAAGCCACTCATCCACCTGAGCATCCTCATCTCTACAACACTTAATTTTATGCATCTCATTTAATGACTAACATTCTACTCCATAAAGCATTGCAGATCTCACCACCATCTTATAGAATTTTTTCTTAAGTTTGAGCGGTACTTTTCTATCACACAACATGCCAGATGCATTCCTCCACTTCAACCATCCAACTTGAATTCTACTAATAATATTCCCATCTATTTCACCATCATTTTTAACAATAGACCCAATATATCTAAAATAAATACTCTTTTTAATGACTTGATCACCCATAGTCACAATCCCCCAATTAGATCTATTACTACTAAAATTATACTACATGTATTCAGCTTTAGATCTACTCAAATGAAAATTTTTGGACTCCAAGGGTGACCTTCTAATTCAAGTTTACATTTAATTTCCTCTCTAGTCTTATCAACAAAAAGAATATCATCAGCAAAAAGCATACACTAGGGCACATCCCCTTACAAATCTCTAGTAAGAACATCCATGATTAAAGAAAAAAGATATGGGCTCAAAGCTGATCCTTGATGTAATCCAACTGAAATAGAAAAATGCTTGGTCAAACCCATTTGTGTTTGAACACAAGTAACAAATCCTATTAACATATCCTTAATGTCTTGAATATTAGCATTATTAACTCATTTCTTTTATAGAACTCTCCAAAGCATTTCTCTTGGAACTTTATCATATGCTTGTTAAAAATCAATAAGTATTATATATAGATCCTTTTTATTTTCTCTATACTTCTTCATCAAACCACTTAATGAATGTATAACTTCCATAGTAAACCTACCCGATATGAATTCAATTTGGTTTTGAGAAATATTAGTATCATGTCATAAATCATACTTAGTTACTCTTTCCTATAGTTATAATATATGACACCAAGGTTTGAAATTGCGTAATCGGGTATTGAGGCGTTTTTCGTTCATGAGGTCAGGTGTAAGCCTAAAGGTGTTTTGAGGCGTAAGCCTCAAAATCTAAAAATTGCATAAAGTAAAATATAAAAGTTTAAAATGATTTTTTATATAATACCCAAATAATATGTTAAAGGATGACATATTAAATTTCTATTGAACTATGAAGTAACAAATTTACAAACACATGAAACAAAAAATTACACAAAATGTAAAATGGTAAGTAATAAATTATGTGAAATAAAATTGTAATCCAAATATTACATGAGAAAAATAACATAAAATATATAAATTGCATAAACGTATTATATAACATCAAGTTTAGCTATAAATTTTGTCTTTCTCAGTTCCCTACTCATCTATATTTAATTATTGAAGAAATTTAATATAATTGACAATAAATCAGAAATCTTATGTACTAACATTACTTAGGGGATTTTATTTGAGTCGTGATAACAAATTGACCTCTCCCTTATCTCATCCTTTAGGGTCTAATACCTCCAAATCTACTTCTTCGTTATTTATTTCAGTCATCTTCCTCTTTTATAAATGTTTGTCATCAACATAAAATAAGAGTAATACATAAATTTTTAGAGGAGATGGTGGCTGCGTGAGGATTTCAAGTGATCCGCGGCGATGGCTATGATGGTGGTGGCTATGGCGAAGGAGGTGGGCTGGAGGTCGAGGCAATTGAGAGGAAGTTGTTGCGGCTTTGGAGCGCAAGAGGGCATGATTTTTTTTTGCGGTTTTTGTATAGGATTTAGCTAAGTTTTAAATAGAAACATACATAAATAGAGTGAGGCGTATGCCTCATGCCAGTGAGGCGAGGCGCGCCTCAAGGCTGGCCTCAGCAAAGATGAGGCATAAGCCTCTTAAAAAAAGTTCAAGGCGTAAGCCTCGAGGCATTTTTCACTGAAATTGTGCTTAGGCGGGCTTCAAGGTGAGCCTCATATTACGCAATTTTAAACAATGTATGAAACATTAACTTAATTCCTTTATAATTCGTATACTCTTATGCATCACTTTTTTTCTTAAAAATAGGAACCAACATACTCCTCTAGTCGTTTGACATCTTTTTAGTCTTTAAAATAATATTAAAAAGTTTAGTAAGCTAAGAAATTCCTTCATCTCATAAGTATTTCCACATCTCTGTTGGAATATCATTAGGTTCAATTACTTTTTAACACTTCATTTTCTTTAAAATTGACCTCAAAATGGGTTGGGTTCGAGTCATGCCAAACAGCAGCCAGTCAATATTGGGTTCGACCCGAATTCGACCTGAAACTCATTTTTGACACCCATAAATGCATAAAATATTTATCTTTCTATGAATTATAATATCTATTAATTTCATTAATTTACTGATGCGCCTTGGTATCAAAAACAACAATAAACTCTAAGAGATTTAACAAAAAAAAAAAAGATTTTTTTTTATAGAAAATCAAATACGAACAAAGCAGGATATAATGCTCCTCTTTCAAGAGGAGGACCTTCTCTCCTAAACCTTAGATGCTGCTAGGATCCCTCACAAAAATGAAACTACAACACTCTCAAATCAAATTCTGCATACAAATATAACATAAACCATACTACTTATAGCAAACAATAAACAATAAATACGAAAATAGCCCTCCCCCAATTCTCTCCCAAATCAGCCCCCAAATTTTCCCTCTTTAATTACGAAACATCTCATAATTAATCCCCTCTAAATCAACCATCTTTAATTAGGAAACATCTCCTAATTAATCTCCTCCAAATCAGCCCCTAAATTTGCCTGCTTTCTTAATTAATTTTCCTCTCCTATTTGAATTGAAATAGGAGATCTCTCCCTTTTTAATTATCTCCTTAATTCCCTCCTTAATTACCCTCATAACATAATAATTATTGCTTTGTTGGGCCCCACAAGAGGTGTTGAAATCTCCCTGGATTTGGTTTTAGGTTCTGCCCCCTCCATTGCCGGTCTAGCCTACCTTGGCATGCATCTGTAATAATGCTTCCCCTCAAAGACGCACCTTGTCCTCAAGGTGGAAGGATGGGACGCTGTTCATGGCTTTCTTCAGCTGCTCAGTTAGTGTCAATGTTATTATCCATTGGAACCAAGCTAAAGCTTTCCTCTCCAGACATGGCCTTTACAGACGTAAACTTCTCATCCTCATTCAACCCATTCACTATGAAATACATCTCCACCTGGTATACCCACCCATAGGTATCATCTCCTTCAAATATTGACATCCTCAACTTCCTCACCCTAGGATTGCTATCACCCCAAAAGCTTCTTCTCTTCCAGTGTAGCGGTTGTTGTGATCCCTCTATCATCTGTTCTTGCATGACATGATCTCATAATTTAACTCGACCTCCTTCATCTCCGATCGCTCACTCCCCCTTGCCCGAAATGTCTCCCATAATGTTTAGCCACTCCACCTCTTCTGTCACATGTGATCCAAGCTATGATGCATCGATACGAATACAAAGACGTGGGATACATTTTATTATTGTACGTATAGTGGATAATACAACATTAAAAGCATGATATATTGGTTGCATATGTTATATATGAGATGAAATACATCTGATATAATTCATATAATAATAAAATATGTTCTTGTACAATAATGAACAAAAAAGGTTTTTATAAATGTGGCATTCTAAACAAATTAACTGTTAAAGGCACGTTTGAATTACCTTTTCCAAAATTAAAAGCTTATTACTAGTATTCGACTCTCTGTAATTTCTTCATTTCCATAATCACTATTTTATTTAACCCACAACATGCAGTGTTTGCTACATGTGTTATTTATTTATTACTATTATTTTAATAGGATATTCTGACAGTATGCTCGATGCGTGTCAAAAACATGTTAGACACATCCATGTCTTGCATGTGTTGAATGCTACATATTTTGATATCATAAAATATCGTTGCATCCTAGGCTAGCTATCGATCATAAACATTGTTTCTATCAACCTAAAAAATTAATGTGAGTGGGGATCAAATCTATACATTTTTTTCCTTATTTTTCTCATCCCTCTATTTGCGAAAAACAACTTAAAAAATTACATAAATTGGTAAATTACTAAGATTGATTATGTTGTATTTTCTAAAAGAATATGCAACCTTGAACTTCTTCAGAAAACCATTTTAATTGTACCTTGTGGTTTTTATTTTGCTGTGCATCTGTGACAAAAGAATGTATTCTAAAACATTTTTCAACCATAAGGGAGAAGACAATGTGTTCATTGTAGATACAATCATTTCTATTCTCAAGTGATCCACCATCAATTTCTTACTTTGAGATTGTTATTTCCATTTCTGAGATGCCTATTCTTTTGCACGAGTGTTTGAATACTCTTTTGATCATTGTATTTTGTCAATTGGAAATATGTTAAAAGTGGGCCCGAGTTGTCTGTATCTTTGACTTCTTTAGTCTTTAGACATGATTTGATGATTTTTTCATTAATCCTGTTGTCTTTTTAACGCACGTTTTTTTCTTCTGCTTATTTTCTTCCATAATGAAAGCCAGTCTATCCAAATTTTAGAGTGAGAAGGTTTTGACCTGTTTCCTGGTCCTGGAAGTCACCCTCATTCTCTTTTCTTGAATTTTTCTTGTTATAGTAAAGTTCAAACTTCAAAGTTTATTAACTACTTCATCAATTTTGTGAATGGCATTTTCCTCCATAAGCCTGCTATAATAGCTATGATAATTACTCGTTTAATTCAAGAAAAGAGGATTTGCTTAAGATTCTTATTTGTTGGATTGCTTTGAATATTTAATTCGGTCATAACAAGGTTTTCTTTGATTGGCTTTACTAAATTTTATACTTCTTTTGTTTGAAAGAAAGATTTTGTGCACTGCATCTTACTAGAAATGGATTGCAATCATCATCCTATCTTTTCCATCAGAGAAACATAAAAATGAAAGTAAATTTTACACAACTTCATATTAATTGAGGCTGGATGCTAGGAATTTGAGTGAGAGGAAATTGAAATGGAGTCGAAATGGTTAAATCAATGCCTGAAAATTTCTAATCAACCCATAATTCTTGGGATTTCATTTCCCGAGCATTTCCGAAGGAATTAGGGATGGCCTAGTCTTTTGTTTTCTCGTAAAAGATTGTTGCGACCAAAAATTGAACACAGAAGTTACTTCCGTTTTGTAGGTACTGTTATTTTTATCTATTTTGTTCTGTAAGGATTTAATGAAGTGTAAGTTTATATGACTCAGAAGTTCTATTTTGTTGTTCTTGAATTGTGGAAGCATCAACAATTCTGCATAATATTCTGCTTGACACAAATTTTGATGTTAATTTTGTGTACCTAAGTTCTGCACTCACATCTGTTTTTTTTATTGGCATGGTTAAATCAGCTGAGGGAAGTTCCAAGACTGCTCTTACAATAGGTAAGGAATTTATTTCTCTTCCTATCTTATTCCTTCCCAGTGATATTTTTTATCTAAAACTTGGTCAAAGATCTATGCTTTTGATCATGCTATTATACAAACACAACTCACTGAATGCCACTGCTATCTTCTTAAAAAAATAGCAATTACAGTTCCTTTCCAGGAAAATAAACAATTATTTATCCCTTTTTTAAAGATAAAGATGATTGCTTGTAATATTTTTATGAACATATTTATAAATAACCCTAAAATATGGGTTTTTTTGAAAAGAATAATAGTTTTAAAATTTTATAAAAAAATATTTGTAAGATACATGCTAAGGTGTTTTGAAATCTTGGAATACATGTCTGCTTTTGTTGAATCTGTGATACGAGTAATAAAGTTTATTAAAAAATCCTGATATTTTGTTTAGAGCTGCAATATGGTGCTGGCATACAAACTGAGAATTTACCCTGTAGTAATATCTGAATTTCAGAACTAACTATAACAGTAATTATTTTAGTATGGTTTTAAGAAAAAAAAGAAAATAAAAGCAATTTTGAACAAATTATGCAATGGTAAATATGTTTCATGAACTTCGCTGGTATTTACTGAGCACTTTTAGCTCTTTGCTGAGAATTTATCTTTTGTAAATGCGTCTCACCTGAATCTGTTTTCCAATATCTGACAATTATTTTGATTTGCACTAATTGTGACAAAAAATGCTTTGTTGTATATGCTTCTCTTCCAAAGCTTGATGATCATGGGAAAAACAGTAGCCAAATATATATTCTCTTCTACGAGAATACTGGTGCAATAATTTCATATATAAAAAAAAAAACAAAACTAAACAATAACACAATATTATCAATCCATGCCTTGTCACTCATTTAGCATTCTTGATTCTACCATCACGAGGCATTTCAGACGAATAAGATTTTTCAAGCCCATAAATAAATTTTTATTAACTGTAAAGTTTGAGCTCTGCAATAACAAGAGACCATATTTATTTATCTAATGACATGTTCTTAACAGGACTTAGCACAGCAGGAGGCCTGAGCTTCATCATATTTTTCTCGCTCTGCTTTCTCCTCTACAGACACTGGAAGAAAAAGCAGTTTGCTAGATCGAACCTCAATGACAGAAACAATTCTTTTATGATGTCCAATTTTGAATATGAACAGGGCTCCTCTCTTACATCTCCCATCTTCTCCTATGGCGAGCTTTATGAAGCCACCAATGGCTTTGATGCATCAGAAGAACTTGGCGATGGTGGCTTCGGTACAGTCTACAAAGGTAATTCAGCATCTCAAACATACCTTGAAACTTACAACTTTTTTTATCTAAGGTGGCTTTTGGGAAATTCTGATGATTGTACTCGGATTTAGTTCAAATCTAATTCAAATATCAAATTGAGTAACCTTAAAATTTTCTCGAAATTGAATAAAGTTGCTTTGCTTGATTTCTATCGATTCTAAGCCAGCTCACTCAAGTTGATTCTGACTTAAAATATTGCTTGTTTAGCATTTCCCTTTCAACAGGGTAATATTTAGCAAGCCGAAATTTTGAACCGAACAGTGCATATTTATAAGAAAGCTAAAATTTGCATTGCCTGCTTTTTCCAACAAGAAAAGAAGAATGAAGCCATAATAGTAATATTGTGATCATCTGAAACAGATTCAGGGGTTTCATGCAAAAAATTCATATATATTCTGCTTGTTTAGCATTGTCCTATCAATATTTTCTCTATGCTATAATTGATAGAAATATGATATTTTTATACCACCTTTTGTTAATGGAAATTCAAGAAGGTTAGGCACCTTCAGAGTAGGTGTAGACTTCAAGAGAAGATGGAAAGGAGAAAAATAAAAAAATTTCATTCAATAACCTTTTCTTATAATAGGAAGCATATTTATAATGTTTGGGTAGACCAAGTTTACAATATAGAACCGGTCTACCTAAAAATAAAATAAAATAAATAAATTAGTGCTTATTATATGAATAGAGTATTTAGTTTGTACTTTATTTGGCTAAAAATATATTATATTTCTTTTCTTGTTGTATTGTCAATGTGGAATAGTTTTTTATTCTTTCTTCTTTGGTAGATTTTTATGCTTGTCGGTTGGTCTATTATATTTGTAACCCATGCTTCACAATTATTGCAACATTTTAGGATATAATAATATTTGTTGATGTCTAATAATCTCGTTGCCATGGAAAATGATCTTGTTCTCAAGGTTGAGATAAGGAAAAGACAGAGAGAGCTGCAAAATTTTCCCATGTGCCATCATCCGGTAGATTTAATTTTTGTTGCAATTATACCTGACAGTGAGGCGAACCACTAAGTTCTGTAATGTGTGAAGCTAAAATGGCATAAGGTGCAAGGAGTGGTTGGTTGTTATAACTGAAACTTGATAAACGTGAAGTATTTAGTGGAGGTGTCCCTTCAAATGGTTTAAGAAAAGAAATATGACAAAGATGATGAATTTTGCTTTTGGGAGAAAGAGTTAGGCAGTAGGCCAACGGGATAATAGTTTGTTGAAGTGGGAAAGGTCCAAAATATCATTAAGCTAATTTAGAATGTGTGCGACTGACGATAGAATTTTGTCTAAATGGCTGAAATAAATGTCGAAATTGTTTGAGTATGGTGGAAATGTCCTCAGTAAATGATGTGTGAGGTTAGCAAGTTATTCATCGAGAAGATCAACAGATAACATATGCTTTCTATCTAAATCTTGTGATTGAATGGTAAATATTTGAATGTAGGGTGTATGAGATATCAAGGCACATAAATTGATTAAAAGATATAAGATTGGGTGTTAATTGAGGTTCACGTGAAAGTGTGATAGTTTGATTTTGATAAGTAAATTGCATGGTGAAATTTTGATAGTTATATAAAACAGCTCCTAAGGATTGAAGCCATTGTATATCAAGAACCATATCAACACCATGAATTGAGAGAACAAATAAGTCTAAATGAACCTAATAGTCTTGCATAACAATGTTGACTTTGGGATATTTATCCTTACATAATAATAAGTTTCCATTTCCGATAGAAACTTTGAATTCTTTGATAGGTTATTGATGAAAACCTAATTTTTGAATTATATTATCCTAAATGTAATTATATGAGTACTACAGCTGTCAATTAATATATGTACCCTGTGATTGTTAATTAAGTTGGTTAATTGGAAAGAATGAGGATTGAATTGGCTGGCTAAAGCATTTAGGCTAATTTCAGTTTTCAAATCATGGTTATCCTTGTCATAACTAAAGGAGGGGAGGGGGTCATCTACCACATCTTGATCGTCTGTGCCATGTAAAAGGTAAAATTTATTTGGACAGTGATATTGAGTACCAAATTTAGCATCACAATTGAAACAAAGACCTTTTTCACGACAAAATTGAATTTTAGTTTGTGAGAGTTTACAGATTGGAATGTTAAGAGGTTTAGGGTTGTGGAGATTTGATGGGGTCAAGGGGATGGAGGATTGGGAAAAAGGTCTATATTGGAGTAGGTGTTTGTATAGGATTTTTCTGATAGCGAGGAAAATTTTTATGCCAAGAGGATGGTGGAATAAAGAAAATTCTTAGATTTTGGATTCATGGCACCTAGTAAATTCCATGGCGTCTAGAAGGGTAGCAGGTTTTGCAAGTAAAAGCTCACAACATAATTCTTGTTTAAGTCTAGAATGAAGTAACTTATGAGAGTGGATTTCATAGATGTCAATGGTGCAAAATAGCGCGCGTCATGGCGCATGGCGCGGCGTAGATGTTCAAAATGGCGCACGCTATTTGCGCCATATGTGCGCCATGACGCATGGTGCACGGCGCAAAATAGTTCGCGCTATTGTTTGAAAAGAAAGAGGGCATGTTAAGTGAAGTTTTTTTTTTTTTCTGTATTTGAATTTTTAATATTATATAATTTTGTTTTGTGCAAAACACAATGCTTTATTGAAGTACTAAATTTCTGCACTTTTTTTTAATAATTTCACTATCATTTTGATCTTTCGTTAGTCTTATATTATTATTACACCTCTTTTACTTTTAAGAAATATAATAAAAGAGATTATATATTTATCAAATTAAATGTAAAATGGCAATTGTTTTTTTTTCTTTGGCATAAGTAACACAAAAAGAAGTTTTTTGAACATTTGAATGTATATTTTATGTGGCAAAACATTAAATATAATTTTAATTAGAAAACTCATTTTATCATCAAATTGGCTGAAAAAATAAAAGTATTTATTATCTTGTTTGGTTTTAAGGGGCTACATATAATTAGTTTAGTTTAGGAGAGATAAATGATAATTTCCCTTAACACTTAATAAAATTTGGGATATATTTTGTAACAGGAAGTTGTTTTCGAATTCATTCTCCATATGGTATTGCATTGGACTAATTAAATGCCAAAACATAACAGTTGTACTAAATTTGGGAGCATTTCTTTTTTTCTGGATGATTGATGCAATGCCAGCCAAGACCTTGGTGTTATTGATATGTTATTGTGAAAGAATGGTGCATTATTGTCCGTATCAGTTGCTTTTGGTGATGGTGCTTCAATCTTAGGTTCAAGCTTTGGTTGTTCTTAGCTCAAGTTAACTCTTGTAGGGCCAAACTGGACTCATTAAAAGCCCTAAACATGTAACAGATAAAAAAAATGTATAGGTCAAAGGAATCATAAAACTTTGTTATTTTATATGCTAATTAAAAAAATCTTGATGAAGATAACGAAGCTTTTTTTGGCATTTGTTATTGATGATGATTCCCAAGAAGAGTTGATTAAATTCTTTTAAAATAATTGATCTTTAAAAAAATGATTGTAATATTTTGAATTATGAGATATTTGGGTGTTGTTTACTTGAATTTATATATGACTATGGTTGTCTTTCATTATTATGATAGCTTGTCTTTCAGTTTAATAATATTTCATATTTATGTTTATTATTTTATAATTCTTGTATAATTTGCGCCATGTTCAAAATGGCGCGTGCCGCGCTATGCGCTATGCGCCATGGCTCCAAAGGAACCTTTGCACCGTGGTGCGCCATTCGCCGTTAACAAGTATGGTGGATTTAGATAAATATAAAACTTTAAAAGCAAGGTTTTTAGATGGAGTTTGGTATTCTATAATTGAATTTTTTAAAGTTAATTTGAAAAGATTACCGTGTAAATCTTCATATGGAGAAATACCAAAACGTTGTTGAAAAGATGAAAGAAATTCAGGCCAAGCAAGTAATGGTCTGTCATGCTTAACCATTGGTACCAAGTAGTCGCTGGACCTTCATGATGAAATGAGACAATTCTAACACGATGACAATCAGGAGTATTATGAAAATTGAAGTATTCTTGTCCTTTAAACGTCCATATTTCGACATCAGATCCATTGAAGCGATGATAGTTAAATTTCATTGATTTAAGAAAAGAAAAACCTATAAGGAAAGGTGACAATTGTGTAGAAGGAATTCATCCGGTGGAACCAAGGATGCCGGCAGAAGAAGAAGAATCTTGATGTAGTGGAGGTGGTGTGCAGTTAAAGGCACAAATTGTCAAGTCTTTTGACAATGGAATGCATAAAAGCATGGAATTGTGTTAGGAAATAATAACCAAAACAGAGGAAACTGTGCTGAATTTTAGAAAAAATTCAGCAAAATACCAAGCAGTTTTTAAGAATTATGTAGAGTAATAACAAGGGCAAACACTTTGGATTAAGTAAGAGATGAGAAGAAACAACCCAATACAATGAATCTTCAATTCGAGAGGAAGATCTCCAATCTCTAGCCGATGACTAGAGCCCAAAACGAAATCTAGAGATCCCAAATTTCAAATTAAATTCAAGAAAAAATCTAATCCTAGCAAGAAGAAACTACTTAAAGCAAAGTACAATTCATTAATCTCTAAACAGCCCTTAGCTTTGAATTTTCCCTCCTAAACCATTGCCACAATTACTATGTGGGTCCCAGCCTTGTTTCCGCCCCATCTAGGCGTCCGCCCCCTCCTTTTAGGCGGGATTTTTTTCGCCTCCTATATATGTGAACCGATCCAAGAGGGACCAGTTCAGTCGGCCCTTGGACCAGTCTAACATTACCCCCCTCCGAAAGACTCACCTACTCTTTAAGGTGAAAGGAAAAAAAATTGATGCTTCACCCTCTCATAGAGTTCCCAAGTGGCATCAAAGTCGGGTAGACCCTTCCATTTAATTAGCACTTCATTGTTCCTCTCTTTTCCTGGTCTCACTCCTTTAAGCTCCAATTGTTCCAACGCCAATTTCAAATCCTCAGTCAGTGTCACTTGTAACTCTGCACTAACTGCATGCTTCCCTAGAGCTCTCCTCAACTGTGACATATGAAATACTAGGTTTATGGTGGCGGTCGGGGGTAACCTCAAGCGGTAAACCACTTCTCCACTGTTCTCCAACATGTAGTGGGGGCCAAAGTACCTCGGGACCCAATTTCTTGTTCCTCCTGTTGGTCACTGTCCTTTATCTATGGTCATAATTTTAAAAACACCATGTCCCCAACTTCGAATTGGACGTCTTTCCTATGTGCATCTGTCTGCTTCTTCATGATATGCTGTGCCCTCAATAAGTGTCCCTTCAATTCCTCTAACACCTTATCCCTTTCCTCCAAGTACTACTCTATTGAAGAGACTAGTGTGCTTCTCTGCCTAAAACACATCAAGTGTAGTGGGTCTCTTCCACACAACACCTTCAAAGGGGTCATCCGAGAGGCTGAGTGATATGAAGTGTTGTACCAGTACTCTACCTATGCTAGCCATTTGACCTATAATCGACGTGTCTCTGAGGCAAAACACCGCAGGTAAGTCTCCAATCCCCTATTGACAACCTCCGTCTGCCCATCTGTCTGAGGGTGGTAAGTGATGCTTCTTTTGAGAACTGTTCCTTGCAGCCTAAATAGCTTCTTCTAGAACTAACTGAGAAACACCTTATCTCGGTCAGAAGCTATCGACTTTGGAATTCCATGCCATCTAACCACCTCCTTGATGAATGTTGCCAGTATTTTGATGGTTGTATAGGGATGTCTTAAAGGGATAAAATGAGCATACTTATTTAACCTGTCAACCACCACCATAATCACCATGAATCCCTTGGATTGTGGTAGCCTATCTATGAAATCCATGGTAACCTCCTCCCATACTCTGTCTAGAAGAGCCAAGGGTTCCCCTTGAGCCATAGCCATGTACTTGTTTCTCTGGAAAACCTCACATTTGGCTATCAAATCCTTCACATCCTTATGCATTCCTTTTCAATATAATTATGCTGTAACCTTTTGTATGTTTTCTGCACCCCCAAATAGCCTCCAACCGTGCTCCGATGGAATTCCTACAACAAATGGTGAGTATGAACCGAGGTTCATGGCATCACAAATCTCCATTGATACATGTGTCTCTCCCCCTCGAGGGAGTAACCTGGGTGGGCTGAAATCTGAAGGAAACCCGAAGGTGTTGTATGGAATGGTTGGCTGTAATATGCTGGGCTGAAATCCGAAGGAAACCTTTCAGGTGGGATGCAATATGCTGGAATTTTTGCAATCAGCTGGGACGGAATCAACTGGGACGAAATCTGATGGAACGAACGAATGAATAGGAGGAAATCAGATGCATGTGGATGGTAGGAAGGATTGTAGGATGAGAAAGAACTTGCTGCGGCTTAAGCTTTTAGTCTTCGTTTAGGACGGATTTCTTCTTGCTTTCTATAATAGTTTCTTAGAACAAAAAAATTCTTGACTTTAAATTTTTTGTACTCGAAAGCCGTTTTAAAAAGCAGTATGAAAGCTGTACCAAACGAAACCTTAGTGTAACAAGAGCACCATTTGTTAAGTTTCTTGGAAATTCAAGAAAGGTAGGCATCTTTAGTGTAGGTGTTGACTCCAAGAGAAGGAGAGGGAAATGAGAGAAACCAGAAATTTTCATTTCATAACCTTTTCTTACAATAGGAGCGATATTTATAATATTTGGGTAGACCAAATTTATAATATAGAACTATTCTATCTAACATCTAACAGTGCTTTAGCCAGTCCGACCGGTTCAACCGTGAACCGGTTTGAGGACCGGTCCGGTCCAGTCTGAAAACTGCCCTTGCATTAAATCGGGCGGTTTTGGGATGAACCTTTTAGTTTGTGCTTTTGTTTGGCTAAAAATATATTGCCAATTTAATGTGAATTTAATTAAATGTTTAGTCATGACAAATCTACTTTAAGTGATTCTGAATTATAAATTTATCTATTTGCATGTCTAATAGCTAATATTTTACATTTATATATCTATACCAAAAATTTAAAATATATTTTAAAAATAATTAATATTAACTTTTTTAATATAAATATTTATTTTTTATGTGATTTATGTTGAAAATGTGAACTTTGTGATATCAATGTAAATTACCCGTAGCGCTTTCACAAGGAGTTTTGTGCAACTCTTTTAAATTTCATATATTGCTGTTCTCAGTATTCTCATGATGCAGGAAAGCTGAAAGACGGCAGAGCTGTAGCAGTGAAACGTCTCTATGAGAATAACTACCGAAGGCTGGAGCAATTCATGAACGAAGTAAAGATCGTCTCCCTCCTTCGCCACCAGAATCTCGTCACTCTCTACGGCTGCACCTCCCGCCACAGCCGCGAGCTCCTCCTCGTCTACGAATTCATCCCAAACGGCACCATCGCCGACCACCTCCACGGCTCCCGCGCTTCAGAATCACTCTTACCATGGAAAGCAAGGCTTAACATCGCCATCGAAACAGCAGACGCTCTTAACTATCTCCATTCCATTGAGCCCCAAATCATCCACAGAGACGTCAAAACCACCAACATTCTGCTTGACAGTAGCTTCCATGTCAAAGTTGCAGACTTTGGCCTCTCGCGTCTCTTTCCCCTCGACGCCACTCATGTTTCCACTGCTCCGCAGGGCACGGCGGGGTATGTCGACCCTGAGTACTATCAATGCTATCAGCTCACAGATAAGAGCGATGTGTACAGTTTTGGAGTTGTGTTGATGGAGCTCATATCGTCAATGCCAGCAGTTGATATCAGCAGAGATAGGCACGAAGTGAATCTGGCGAACTTTGCGGTTAGGAAGATTCAGAAGCAGGAATTGGATGCGTTTGTTGATCCAAGGCTGGGTTACGATTCGGATTACAGAATAAAGGGGATGATTAGTGAGGTTGCAGGGCTGGGATTGCGTTGCTTGTACTCAGAAGGGGAGGTGAGGCCTGGGATGAAGGAGGTGCTTGAGATTTTGAGGGTGATTGAGAAAAGTGGATGGAAGGGTGAAGGTGCTGCGAAGGGTGATGTAGAAGTGAAGGAGGAGGCAAGATTATTGAAGTGTGTTTCTCCTTACTCGCCTGATACTGTGACTGAGAGATGGGAGAGCACATCGTCGTCCATGACAAGTTTTACTATCTGAGTTGATCAGTGTTAACGACGGCAAATTATTCTGTGCCGAGTCCGAACGTAGAAGATCTTCTGGATTACTGGATGCATTGCGTTCGCTCTGCTTATACTATGCATATTTGTAGATACACAACAAATAAGCAGCAAATCCTCATAAATAATTATTTGCTGCTTATTTACTGCGTATCTACAAATACACAATAAATATGCAGAGCATATGCATAGGGTATGCAGTAATCCGAAACATTCTCTACGTTCGGAGTCTGCACAAAATAATTTCCCATTAACGACAGCTTAATTTAGGGGCTGTTTGGGTTAATGGATGCTGTAAAGAGAAATCTTTAGATGCGAAATGAATGTTTCAAGTTTAGTTCAACATAAAGCTGTAAGTAATTTTTTACAAATGCAAAGTTTAGTTTCTTCATAAATTAATTGCAGAGAATGGAATCAATTCAGCTGTATTTATTTTTGCAGATTTTTATTTTATATAGTCTTTTTCCAGTGAACCAATCAGAGATTAAAGATATATTCACAATGCTCATAAGTTTTTATGTGATTTAAACTCAATAATTGAGCCGGTGCATTATAGGACATTTTCAATTCATTTATTTCACAACAGTTGTTATAAGCAAGAGAGAGGGAGACACAGAGAATGCTAGAAGTTATGGAAAGAAAGCTTGAATATGTAAGCCTTGTGGCTTGATTCACATAAGTTTGATCTACTTCAGTTATTAACAGCATTTTCATTTTTTGGACTTCAACAAATGTTAAATCTCAATCATTAGATTATAGTATTCCCTCATGTGAATGCTATTGTAGGTTTCATTGAATTTCTAATTTTGTTTTTTGCCCCACATAATTCTGCACATCCTTACATATATCTAGATTTGACAATTTTTTTAGTATATCTATTAGTTTTGTGTGGAATCTGATTATGTCGGTCAATTGAGTTGTACTGTTGTCTTAGACTGCAATTCCATCGGTCGAGCTAGCCAAGGGGTCATAGGAGGTCCTCTACCAAATAACGCACATAGAATTGTTTGTCAAGAAGCATTGCGGTGCTCCAGAGGTGCCGTTACATAGACTCGAGATAGAATGTGGAGAGCCGTGACACTTCAAACTTGGAGTTGCTGCGCTATTAAAAGGGCTTAGCAATTTTCTTTCTTGTTTTCCATAAAGGGTTGCGCACCTTGGTAGTTTTAGTGTGTTTCTCTTTGTTTGTTCATGCAATAGAACGATGCAAGAGTGAAGAGAGATAATGAGAGAGTGAGAAAGAAGAGAGATTTGTACTATTTTTCCCAGACTTTTATAGTGAATTTCTTGATGAGGCGCGGCTCTGTTGTATTTTCCCGGTTTCGGATTTTTCCACGTTAAATTCTGATATTCTTTCTTTTCATTGCATTTTCTTTTTCTTATTTGTATTCGCTGTGTGGTTTACTTCCCCAACATTATCATGCCTTTTGCATCATCTAAACAATGTATCGAGAAACGTTTGAGTTACGTAGGAGTCATTGATATTGTTTAGTGATTTATTATAGAAAATTTGTCTATTATTTATATAGATCATATCATTATTAAGAAAAAAGGTAAGTAGTCTAATTTTAAACATATGGCTTAGATGTGATGCTACTTTTTGTTATAAGATAGAATCAAGGATGACTTGATGTTGCGGTCGATGAGTTGATCCACCTAAGGTTATTTTGGTTGGTATATTGTTTCTATTTAAGAGTAAATTTTCCTTTTTCTTAAACTATTGCATTACATTACACTTGATTATTTTTTCATATGGCCATGATTAATAAATGCAAAATCATGTTATCTAAGTTTCATAAATACATTCGAAATCATGTTATCTAAGCCTTCAATTTGTTGCAAGTCATGTATGTAAAGCTATTCTATCTTTGACTTTGATAAATTCATGACCCATAGGAGGTCCTCTACCAAATAACGCACATAGAATTGTTTGTCAAGAAGCATTGCGGTGCTCCAGAGGTGCCGTTACATAGACTCGAGATAGAATGTGGAGAGCCGTGACACTTCAAACTTGGAGTTGCTGCGCTATTAAAAGGGCTTAGCAATTTTCTTTCTTGTTTTCCATAAAGGGTTGCGCACCTTGGTAGTTTTAGTGTGTTTCTCTTTGTTTGTTCATGCAATAGAACGATGCAAGAGTGAAGAGAGATAATGAGAGAGTGAGAAAGAAGAGAGATTTGTACTATTTTTCCCAGACTTTTATAGTGAATTTCTTGATGAGGCGCGGCTCTGTTGTATTTTCCCGGTTTCGGATTTTTCCACGTTAAATTCTGATATTCTTTCTTTTCATTGCATTTTCTTTTTCTTATTTGTATTCGCTGTGTGGTTTACTTCCCCAACATTATCATGCTTTTTGCATCATCTAAACAATGTATCGAGAAACGTTTGAGTTACGTAGGAGTCATTGATATTGTTTAGTGATTTATTATAGAAAATTTGTCTATTATTTATATAGATCATATCATTATTAAGAAAAAAGGTAAGTAGTCTAATTTTAAACATATGGCTTAGATGTGATGCTACTTTTAGTTATAAGATAGAATCAAGGATGACTTGATGTTGAGGTCGATGAGTTGATCCACCTAAGGTTATTTTGGTTGGTATATTGTTTCTATTTAAGAGTAAATTTTCCTTTTTCTTAAAATATTGCATTACATTACACTTGATTATTTTTTCATATGGCCATGATTAATAAATGCAAAATCTTGTTATCTAAGTTTCATAAACACATACAAAATCATGTTATCTAAGCCTTCAATTTGTTGCAAATCATGTATGTAAAGCTATTCTATCTTTTACTTTGATAAATTCATGACCAATTTTAGCTTTTGTTTATGATTTATAAATATTCAGAAAAATGTATTCTAAGCAAGGTTGTGAAAACTGGATCGAACAACAAACCTGAAGGAGAGGTTTATGATTTGACTCGAACAAGATGATATAATAAATAATAAGATTATTAAAAATTAATATGTGCAATCTCATAATGGGCACTACTTTTAAAGTTGACCCATATGATTACTCAAATGTGCAATCTCAGAGAGGGCTATTTAAGGGATAATCGGCTATTCAACCTTCAATATACATTAAACCAGCAACTTCTTAAGAGCTCAATGAATAACTTCATCAAGTCGGATATTCCAATTAGATAAAATGACTATTATAATTTTCTTTTATTCTTTATATAGCTAATTTTGTAACATTCTAGCTCCAACCTAAATCTATAATATGGGGTCACGAGGTGAGTTCAGTTTACGCAATGTTTCATTATAACATTATTATCTCTTTCTCTCTCAATTATTTTTTTCCCAGTTTACTCAATATTCTTAGTATAGTTCAGTGTGATTCACGAATAATTTTGAATTCAATATCTTAAAAGGTGCAGTGAGTGTGAAGCATATCATTAACATGAAGAGTACTACATGAAGCAAAACAACAATAAAGAGGTGGAGAAGAATATGCAAATATAGTGAAATAAAACTTTTTAATTGACATTTAGGTTGTTGAATTTGAGGAGATGAGTAGAATTATGCAAGATATGCTAGAGAGAATTTTGAGAAAAACTCTTAGGGTAGAGTTACTAGGGGATCCTTTGATTCTATCATGAGAAGTAGACTTTGGAGCTACATCTTTAACCTTTATCATAGTCGGTTAATGAGACATACTACCCAAATAGTGAAATCAACCCGACAGTTCATCGAGAAGAAATGTAACTTGAGAAGAGGAAGTCGTTGGTGAATGCTTTCTTAAGGGAGATTGTTGAGGCCTAGCATCTTGCAAAATTAGATTCCTTACTTTGATTCATATAAGGGAAAGACAAATTTACTTTGAATCGGCTATCTCACTGCTTGACATTAATAATGCATTGAAGTGTAGGTTATTCTTCATTACCTTCAATAAATTACCTTTAAGGTCTTTCTCATGTTTGCTACTAAATGTGATTACTTCATCAAATTCAAGAGACTATATGTGACATAATTTGCTAATGTGGAAAGATCGCTAAAGAATTTGTAGGCCTTACTATAAATGAGGAAAGAATCGGACAAATCATTGAAGAGTTTCATTACCCATTTCTAAAAAGAAAATTTGGATGCAAAGAACACAGAGTCGACTGTGTCCCAAGCCACTTTAATTAAATATCCGCATGAAGATCATTCAGGTATGCACTTGGCTTGCAGCATATGATGACTTTGGTTGAGTTGCTAAAACTCACCAATACATCAATGCTAAGAAATACAACATGTCAATTGGCACTAATGTGATGGCTAGGAAAGGAGATGAACTACATGGGAGGGCAATTTCAACAAATTCTTGGGGACAAAATTCATGGGGTTCATAGAAGAGTTTATCATTAATAAAAAAGTGTTATGTAACATAAGAGAGTTCATCCCTTCAATGGGCGAGTACACAACAAAGAATGATAAGATGATCACCATGGAGAGAGACAATTACCTCCTCTAATTGGCTAGATGTTGATTGCTATCTTATTGGGGTTCACACTTGAGCTTTCACTTGTTCCACTATCTCTTATCTCGTATGCAAGCACTATTTGGTCCACCTCTACATTGACTACAGGATGCTTTGAAGTAGTTTGACTGTTAGTGACATATTGTCACAACCGAACCCGATCATAATAGGTCCTTTCGTGTTGAGCTGTGACAAATAAATCCAAGATCTAGTTTTGAAATTATTTCAGATTTTTGTGCCAAAATTTATTGAAATAAACTATAGACTACATAGCTACTAAAATATCCAAATATTACAAATAAACTCATCCACCAAGTTTCTTTCATTTATTAAAATAAATATCTACACTACAGTACATGACTACAGATAATAGCTATATAACTAAAAATTTAACTAGTCATGAATGTATAAAAATCAAAATAATAAAATACTTATGACCTTAGATTTAACCATGAACCGCTAGTCCACAATATCGTTCCCCTTCTCAGGTCCTAAAAATCAGAAGTAAAACCACAATGAGCTACAACAGCTCAACGAGCCACACAAACCAATCTACAAATCCCAAGATCTAGTTTTGAAATTATTTCAGATTTTTCTGCCAAAATTTATTGAAATAAACTATAGACTACAGAGCTACTAAAATATCCAAATATTGCAAATAAACTCATCCACCAAGTTTCTTTCATTCATTAAAATAAATATCTACACTACAGTACATGACTACAGATAATAGCTATATAACTAAAAATTTAACTAGTCATGACTGTACAAAAATCAAAATAATAAAATACTTATGACCTTAGATTTAACCATGAACCGTTTGTCCACAATCTCGTTCCCCTTCTCAGATCCTAAAAATCAAAAGTAAAATCACAATGAGCTACAACAGCTCAACAAGCCACACAAACTAATCTAAATTTTCATATATTCTTTTATCAAAATTTTGTTGAATATTTAAAAGCAGTTAAATGTAAATTAAATAAATCACTAAAATGAGAAATGTAATAAATGCATAACAATTATTCTCTGATTTAAATAATAGTACTGAACAAATAAATAAATTGAAATTCATATCACAGAGTAGTTTATATCATATTTTCCAAACCCAGACACAACCTCAAAGGATTCTGATCCCTTATAACTCCATTTTTGTTTGTGCTTATAGCACCAAAACATATCACATATCCCTGTCTCAGATAGAATCTCAAAGAATTTTGGCCCCTTATAACTCCCAGTAATTCCCTGACATAGACAAAATTTTAAAGAATTATGGCCCCTTATGACTCTCAACAGATATAATTTAATCACATATGCACATATATTATCACAATATAACAATTAAAGAGTAATTAAACAAATGACAAAATTTCACAGTATTTTGTAATGATAAACAACAGAAAATCTAACTAGACAAGAATGCACATTTTCATAAAATTACAAAATTATTAGGAATCGTGTAAAATAATATTTTAAGACTTTTATTACACTACATTATTTTTCAACATCTAGATACTTTTCTATTAACCCCCCCCCCCCAGGCAATGTTGGAGGTGAGCGGGCAGCCGGGCCGGCAGCCTAATTTTTTTATTTTATGATGGCATTATTCCTCTTGAAAGTCGTCGGAAAAAATTTTCGCTGGAAATTAGCCGCCGGTTATCATTTCCTATGCGACTTTTACCGATGAAAAACTATTTGCCGGAAATCTTAGTTTCCACCAAAAATTCGCCCATTTTTGTTGGTAAAAGACGATTTTATGTAGTGTCCACTATAATAATCAGGAGAAATTTGTACATATCTCTATTCTCTCTCGCTTTCTCCTTGCTTCCCTTCCCCCGTACCCTGTTCTTTTACATAAGAACAAACAATGAAATATAATACATATCACCAAAGGACACCACTCTCAAGTAAAATGAGAAAGAAAAACTGTCCACCCGGCCTCGTAGTGATGCAGTGCCAGTTTGGAGTGTCGCGACGTTCAATGCTCTGACTCCAATCTGTTTGATAGTGTCGTAGCGCAATATCTTGAGCTCTACAACGCTCTGCTCTCTGCCTTTTATCCAAGCAAACTATGCCATGCTGGGATGCTCAGGTACACAATGCTGGGACATTCAGGTACACAGTGCTGGAGCGTTGTACGAAAACAAATATTTTCAAGGAGAGGGCCCCCCGCCCCCAGCGAGCATGACACACTAAGTTGAGGTCCGTGGCAATAGTACAACCCGATTGATCGCAAAATTTGATTCCACACATACTAACGATCAAAATGGACATGAGGACGATTTCCCACTTCAACCTCCTAATAGAAAGTTCTTCAATTTATGCATATAAATTATAGTTCTCATAGTGGTTTCAATCAACATGAACTCGTAGACCTTGTCATCCATGACATGCAACATACAAAGTAAGTTGTGTATGTATTCTTATTATGACCCACGCTTGAAGAATTTTAAGCTTGAGTTGTTCTAGAGCAAGTATTTTATTAATTTCTAGAGGTTGATTCCATTTACCATTATGTGAGGGTGTAAATTCTTTTGTAATATGCCGCTTTACTTACACAAACTACATAAAATGTTGGCGAAAATTGGATTATGTATAAATTGATTAAATTCTTTTATATTTATTTTTATGCATTGATGAGGCTATAGATCTAAGCATTCTCATCTAAATTGTATTAAGCAAGTTGTATTAAAGTTTTTTTTTTTTTTTGAATAAAACTAGCTTAAATTTCATAAATAAATAAAAAATGGTCAGTAAACTACTGAATAATTAAATTAAATCATAAAAGTAATATTTAAAAAATATTTTATTAACGGATATTATTATTTTATTTGATTTGGTTTATTTATGTATTATATAAAACAATAAATAGATTTAAGAGTTGCGCATGTAAATATTAAAGTATTAAATGGTATGCATATAAATCCACTGATCCTTTCCATAAAATATTTATCAACAAGAACTCATAAGTTAAATAAGGCAGAAACAAATTCATTTGTAAGAAGAAATTGAATTTACATTGCAGGCCAGAAAATTAAAATAAAATAGAGCAATGTAGCCACTTAACTAGACAAAGCCCATGGGAATAGAGAGATTATTATGTGCGCAATCCGGATTTAGAGAACAGTTCAGTGGTGTGATTGTGAACAATAAAAATACAGTAAAAGCATAATTGTTATTTACCACTGTTCTTTTATTGCGTCACAAAATTAAAATATTATTTGAATCCGGACTCTGAACAAAATAATCTCTCATGGGAATGACCATCTTCTGAAGCAAGACTAAGGGCATCTCCAATTGAATGGAAAATAATTGTTTGCCGTTCTTCCGTCGTTCCAACCGAGCGGCAATTTTGCCGCTATTTCCTCGTGGGTGAACAGTGCGACGTCAATATTGGCGTCGCACTGTTCAATATTGGCGTCGCACTGTTCACCCGCTAAAATGAAGAAAGACGGTTACGAGATGACGAAGCCCGCGAAATGGAATTCGATCAGAGCAGAATTATCACATTTTAGAGTTTTGATGTAATTTGCAGTGGAAAATGGGGCTTTCGATTGGAGATGCCTAACTACATCCAGTCCACATAGTTTGTTGACTGGCAAACTCTGCCATTCTCTGGTTTCCAACTTGCTCCAGCAAATTTCAGGAGACGCAGATATCTCAAGCCCCCTAAGATCAAGCGTAAACCAAAACCATGAAGCAGAGCTCAAGCGACAAACATTCAAGCCATTTATAAACTGTAGAGTTGGGAAACAGCAGGTGCATCACTATACAGTGCCATCTTCATCATCCTCCAGCATCCTCAGCTCTCCCTGTGTTTGCCTCTGGGGCTGCCTTGAGGCATCAAGAGCCTCTTCATGTCCAGCATCGTCATCAATTTCAGGATTCTCATCACCACCAGCACCTTCAGCATTTCTTTGAAATCTACCAGAAGCCTCAGCTTCACTAAACGCTTCCCCTGATAGAACCCTGGCCCTTCCTCTTTGTCCCCTTGAGGACCTTGAGGATCCCCTCCTTACTGAGACCCTTCCTGTGTTTCTGCTGAGATCGCCGGACCCTCGGAAGCTCAGAATTAAGAAGAACCCTATCGAGGGCATAGGAAAGAAACCCCCAAAATCTCTACTTTCGTCATGAAAGCCTAAACTTTCATCCCATTCGCCGATTGAAGACTCTATCGAGCTGACAAAGTCGCCAATATCGCGTTGCAGCTCCATCCTCCGCCAATCTTGCTGCCTCTCAGAATCCGCCTCTGACGGGCGGACAAAGGGATGCTCCGTCCTGGCGTGCTTCCTGAGCTCTCCGTAAGCTCCACTGAAGCCGCAGGTCTCCGTGGAGCAGTTCCTTACTTTCGTGTTCAGGTACTTCCGCGCCGTCTGGACAACCTTCCAATCGGAAACAACGCCTCGGCAGAGCGGGCAAGAGAGCTTTGCCGTAGATGCCCCCTCGATCTCAAACGCCGAGGCGTCACAGGCCTTTCGGTACTGATCGAAGCAGTTAGAGTGACGGTAGCTAGTGTCACACATGAAGGGTCGACAGCCCTTATCGTGAGAGGAGCATATAAGAAGAACGGAGTTGTGGGGTTGCTCCATGCAGACAGGGCACCGAACGTCGTCCCACTCTTTTAAGTCCTTATCTGCCGGCACCACTCGGGATCGGTCAGGAGAGGCAGAGGAAGAGGAGGAGGAAACTTCTGCCGGGGCAGAGTAGGAGGGGCCAGGAGAGAGGCACCGACTATCGGAGAAGCGGAAGGGCGATTGGCGATCAAAGGAGACCGAACGGCTTTTTCTGTCCTTGGGCATCCTATCAAGAAGAGAGCGGCAGCAGAGCTGGAACCTAGAGAACGAAGAAGAGGCAATATCGGAGGTCAGGGGAGCTAACACTTATCTTGAAGGATAGCAGAAAAAGAAGGAAGGCGGAGCTCTCCGCCAAACAAGCGGCGAACACTGTAAATCGGAACCTCGCCGTCGGTGTTACGGCTCATCGGATAATCGTTACCGTTAATTTATCTAATGAAAAGCTGCGAATGTGATCGGAAGTTGCAGTGTGGTATCCAGCTTTGTTCCGGCTTCGTCATCGGTTTCGCCGTTTAGGTTGCTTCAGACCGGTTTCGCCGTTACGGCTTACTGCAACTCAATCTTAGCCGTTGGATTGATTGAGCTTTAATTTATTATTTCAAATTACAAATAATTTTGTAACAGATAAATAAATTTAAATCCAGCCAGCCAATCAAAATTAAAAGAAGAATTTTAGTCATCATGGATTCATGGAAGTTAAGACTGAGTTTCCATTGAATTTATGATTTTTATCCTTTTAGTTATACATTCCTATGTTTAGTATTTTTTTTAATTGGTCCTCTTGCTTTAGAAATTAGATGCTTAGAAATACTTGATGTCTTTCCGTCAAAAGCTTTAACAGTATGTCATATATTAAGGGTGTCAATTTCGGCTCACGGGTCGGGTTCAGGTCGAACCCGAAATTGACCCGGCACAATTTGGTTCAACTCGAAGTCGACCCGTTTAGGGTTACGGGTCGATTTTCTGGACCCGAACCCGACCTTCTTTGGGTTCGGGTCAACCCGACCCTACCTGGGGACACGACAACCTCGTGAGCAGATTCGTGGCAGCGTCGTCCGGCGGCTTCGGCGGCATCGACGGTCCGTCAGCCGGCGTTCGGCGGCACGTTTAATTCTGGGAGTAAATAGTGTGACGTTAATATTGGCGTCGCACTCTTTACCTACGCTAAATTTTTCGGGTGAAAAATGAATGATAGAAAATAGAGAAAGAATATACATATAATATATATTTTGTGGATATTAGAAAATGGAGTTCAATTGAAGATGAGTTACTGCATTTTGAAGTGAAAAATGAATTTTTCGGATGAATACGGCCTTAAAATAGAAAAAGTCTATTATATTTTTTTTGAATCAATCAAAAGTTGAAAGAGCCCGTGGTGCAAAGATGATTAGATCACGGCTTAAAAAGTTTCAATAAATGACGAAATGGTATTCAAATAACTTTTTGCAAGATCATATGTTCAATGAAAGTTTGAAAGCTTGAAATTAATGCTTTTTATTGCTTGATTAAAATAATTTCAATCCTGATGATGTGTAGGAGTACATTTTAGTGATACAGATGCACTCATATTTTAGCACTTTATAGACGTATAGTTATGTTAAGAAAGATAGAGATAGACCTAAAAAGACTTGATTAGAAAAATATTAAAAATGATCTTTCTTTATTAGATTTAGATGAGAATTTGACTCTGAATAGAACACAATGAAGAAAAAGAGATTCATTTAGCTGACCCCACATAGTGGGATAAAAGCTTGTTGATGTTGTTGTATAGTCATATAATTATGTTAAGGATATTATTCTTATAAATAAATGCAACAAAATTTTTCCTACTTTGTTATAACTACCGTGATTGTACCAAAATATTATTTTCATTGTAATTAATTTAATAAAATGCTACTTATTAAAATTATTTACTTTGTTTTGTTTGCCTTGTAATTTGCTGTGCTATAAATGTTGTGATTGAATATTATTATGCTACACTATATCATTTAATTTAATTTTTGTTAAATAAAACTTTAAAAATATTTTGTTAGTAATTTAAATTTTTTTTTCATGTAATGTTAATGAAAGCTTAATTATATAAAAATAAAATTACTATACATAAGCTATGAATAATATAATAATTAAACCAATAAACCAAACAAAAAACTAAGATCACAAATGTTGAAATCAATTAATACTTTGAAATATAAACTTAGCAAATCATTAAATGGAATCATTGTCAACTTTGAAAGAGACTCATGCGATAGTGGCGCCACAACTAATTGCATAACGAATTAAGGGCATCTCTAACGGAGAACTCCATTTTTCACGTCAAAATACCGCAAAACGCAAAAATGGCGTGGTGCTGCTGCAATTGAACACCATTTTTTTTGCATCTGCACGAAGGTAACGATCCTTCTCCTTTTGGCGCGTTTTTCCGGTTGAGAGAGCAAAATAGCGTGGGTGAACAGTGCAAACAAATGGCGTTGCACTGTTCACCCGCAAACAAATGGCGGTCGTTTTGGCGTTCGGCTGGAGCGACGAACGACGCCAAATGCTCATTTAGCGTTCGGTTGGAGATGATCTAAGGGCTCAAAAACACTATTAATTAAGAGTATTGTTCAATTTTTTTTGTAGTTGAGCATATTAAGGAGAATCTTTAAGTGATGTGGATCTATGGATTTAATAGTCTCGAATGAATGAGAGCTCATACAATAATAACAACTAAGATATTATAAGGATGATGCTAGTTTCAAACCTCAATCAAGGGAGGGATTAAATATGCCAATGAGAAACAACTCAAAATCTAAGTGATGTAGAATATCAAGACGGACAAATTAGAAGTGGACCCACCACAAAAGTCCAAGGACCCATATCAAGAGTTCAATTAAGACAAAAAATGTATGAAAAAATATTTAATACTAATTCTAATTTTAAAATTTGGATTTTGATGCTTAGATTTAAATTTTAAATAAAAAATGTCATTCTTTGCATTTTTAAATCAACTTGTTACAAATTTTGGCAGGCCAACTAAGCAGTTAGAAACCTTCCTTCTTTTGTGGTGGCTAGCTCTTCCCTCCCTCTTTTCCATCTCATTTTGAATAATGCTAGCTCTCAATCATTATTTTATTATTTATTTACAGTGTTGAAATGAAATGAGAAAATACTTTTTGTATTTTGGCAAAGAAATTGAAATTATTTTCCATTGGACCCCTAAAGCTTAGTTTGGTGTGTCGTTGTCTATCCCATCTTTGTCTAAGTATTTTCATTTTCTTTTATTATCAGTTCATCTACCATCTCGCATTCGCTCTCCAACAATCTCACCCATCTCCCAAAACTTCCTCCATAAGCTTAGAAACCCAATGGAAGCCAACTAGACAAACTAGGTCCCCTTTGGCCTAATATTTGTATCACTAACAACTTCATATCATACCTTCACATCCCACCATCTCTAGACCCATAACTTTCTTCCATAAATATGTAAAAGCAAATCAACCCAAATCAAGGTCCTTTTACATATTCTTGGTATCACCACCTCCTTATTCCTTTAAAGATCACTCCATCCCACCATTAGCTCTAGATCAATCTTCACATCTTAAGATTACCCTCAATAACCATTTTGAGCCATCTCTACTCCCATACTCCCCTCCACATGTGACAAAGCTATTAGGTCAGCTTGGATTGGTCATCTCCAAGGTTACCTTGCTTATGAACTTCTTTTCTATAACCCCCTCACCAATCCAATACCTCCCTTCCATATTCCTACAACCTTTATACATCGCATAAAACCCCCCACAAGGAAAATTTATTCTGTGCAGATATCAAATGCTGTTAAGAGACATCAGGATGTGTCACATCACGTCACTTTTTTGATGTGTACCGAATGACATTGTGCATTCTAATTTACTTCCGAACGGTCTGGTATCTACACAGAAAAAATTTTCCCCCACAAGACTGGCCAGCTACTTACATACCTCTGAAATTTTTTTTTTTTTTTTTTAAATAGTTTTCAGCTTAAATCAATCAAATGAGATTGTGCTAGGCAGAGTAGCCCTCTTGCTCAGTCATAAACCAGAAAAAAAAAGTGATCAAACAATTATCTCTCTCCGGCCTTTGGCCAAAAAACAAAATTTTCATTTCTATTTGTTTCTACTCTTAAATACTCCTTTGGTCTAATATATCCAGATGATAAGGATTAAAGTTTTTTTATTATACATTAGTTACAGTATTCAATTGCCATAATAGGATCTCCTCAACAAAATTTGCATCCATCATATGTTCATATAGCGTTTTGGGTAGGAAAGAAGATGAACGGCAGGAAGAAAAAATAACTTTGTTTTATTTGACAAACAAGAAGAAAAAAAGTCCACTTTCATTTACTTTCAGCATAAAATACAATCACAGACAACATTTATATCATTTATTTATACAAATCTAAGAAAAATAAGGCTATAGAGAAAAACAATACTATTATATATCTATCATCATCAATTTCTCAAATGGTATAATAATTTGATCCTTATGCACCAAATAGAACCCCCTCCAGAAGCAGGACAACACTGATCGCAAAGCAAATGAATTTGGAGCGCATCGTGGGGATGCTATCTCAAGGATGGGAGAAATTATTATGTGCGGTTGCCAGACCGTTCGGAGACGAATCAAGATACGCCATGTCACCCGGTACACTACACTAGTACACAACAAAAAAAGTGACATGACACATCCTGATTCGTCTCAGGACGGCGTCCGGTGACCGCACATATGTTAAATTTGATACGAAGAAGATAAAATTATTGTTTTCTACGAAGATGATGACAGATCGATCATATCGATTGCTTTGCTCCAGCGCAAAATTATGTGGTATATATATCAAAATAAAGGATATAAATGCTTGTTATTGATGCATTTTATGCTGAAGTAAATGAAAGTGAACAGTTTCTCGACTTTGGTTATCCATTTTGTAGAGGTTAAGGTTTCTACAGCTTTATCTCCTCCCATCCCTATGCCTTCTCTCCCTGTAAGACTCCTCGTCTCGGTCTCTGCTCCTTTCATAGGATCTATCATCTCTTCTATGCCGGTCCCTCTCCGCTCTCCTCTTCCCATGTTCTCCTTCATCCTTCCTGTAACTCTCACTGTCATATGCATCCTTCTCATCTCGGCGACTTCCGGACTTGTAATCTCCTTCATCAGTTCTATGCTTGCTACCATCATTCTTTCTATAATGCTCTCTATCTCCATTTTTCTCCGTCCGCCGGTCAATATAGCGCCGGTCATCCCTTCCGTTCGATTTATCTTTCTCATCTTCTTGATGCCGCCTACTTCGATCGGCTTCATGTCTGTGCCTAGCTGAGCTTTTGTTGTCCTGATCAAGATGTCTTGGATTCTCCAACTTATAGTGACTGGTCTTTATCTTCTTTGACTGCTTTTGCTCTGTATTTTCTATCTCCTCTTCATCAAACAGCATGTCATAACTGAAATAAAATTCACAATCATCAGAAGAATAATAGGAAGGGATGATAAGAAGGGTTCAGATACGTAGAGATGAATTAAAACCTCTTATGATCATGTCCACCATGCTGGGTGTTGGCGTCTTTAAGACTATATTTTGGGCCTTCTTCCTTGCCATCCGGTTCTTCCATACAGTCACGAGCAATGTGATCAGGAGCACCACACTTAAAGCAACCATCTGTACGGTTAAGATTGACACAAAACATACAAATAAATAAATCAGCAGGAACAACAAGAAAAAAAAGTCTGCCATGGTTTATTCTTGAAAACAACTATCCTATATTTTAGTGGAGGTAAATCATGTGGAGATGAACACAAGCACTGTCCACTCTCTCTCTCGAGAAACTATTATGTGCAGAGTCTGAACATAGAGTCTTTCGGATTACTGCGTATCCTATGCGTAAGCTCTGCGTGTGTAGATACGTAGTAAATAAGCAGCAAATAATTAGTTGTGAGGATTTGCTGCGTATCTACAAATACGCAGAGTGTAAGTAGAGCGTATGCAATGCGTCCAATAATTCAGAAGATCCTCTATATTCAGACTCCGCATAGAATAGTTTTTCCTCTCTCTCAAAAAAAAAGTTTAAAAGATGGTGAGGAAAAAAGGAAGTTTAAGGATGCGGATGGGTCGCTATATTTCATAATAATTGGCAGAATATGATGACCTTGGAAGGCTTCGAAGGGAATGGGATAGTTTCTTAGTTTGTAAAATAGTATCATACTTCTGTTGAATTAATCGTGTCATGACAGCATAAACGAGCATGTAAAAGAATTATGTATCAGCATACAACAATGCCCATTAGAGAGAGTAGACGAGCATAGAGAGAGTAGATGAACAAATAACACAATATGAATGAGCAGGATTCATTCCAGTATTTAGAATTTACCTTTTGTTGACCTTTTACCATGCCTAAAATGCTTCCACAACTTGGCAACACTCTGGCTGAAATCAACACGTATCCTTCTGTCATCTATTAGTGCATTGTCCATCTGGCAAGCTCAGTGAAATAAGTGATGAGAGTCTATGAAAGAAAACGGTAAATACTGAAATTGAGATATAGCAGGATTCTTTAGAAATCAAATGCTGTTTACATTAAGATCCATAAAATGAATCAAGAAACAAAGTAAAATCACGTTAAGCCGCAGGCAGCCAAATGATATGCAGATTAAAAAAAAACCAAATTATCGTTTCCAATTCTATTTCTGATGATGATGCATAATTATACACGCCTTAGTGCAACGGTGAATTAACTACAGGATCTAAGAAATTGATGTGCCTTGGAAGTAAAAATAACAAACAAAAGAGAAGAAAAGCATATGAACACAAATAATAGCTATTTTCTGATTTCTCCTTTAAAAATTAAACAAGATACAATTGATCTACTGTTAGAGAGATAGATCAGCTCTCCCACAGACTCTAGACCCTGCTAGGAACTCACAAAAATTACTAGGAAAATAAACTTAGCAATATCATGATCCTAACCTTCATCCCAACTCCCCCTCAAATAGCCCTAGACATAATAACACAAATAGAACATTCCTAAACAATTAAACATGATTTAAGAAACCTTCATAAACAATTAAACATGATTTAAGAAAACTTTCTGAATAAATAGATCTAAATAAGCTTTCCTAAACAATTCAAATTGTAAATCTTTTCCTAAATAATTCTCTCCTTATTCCTCCTCCTAACATAATGAATCACAACTTTGTTGTTCCCACAAGGAAGCCGAAATCTCCCCTGATTCATCCTAGTTCAATTGTAGATGGACCAGCCCCTGCTGGCCCGTGTGCGATTTCGATAGCACGCTTTAGTTGTGATATATAGAATACTGGGTATATCGATGATGATGCTGGGAACCTCATACGATAAGCTACTTCCCCAATGTGCTTCGTCACCTCATAAGGCCATAAGTAATGTAAGGATAGTTTCTCATTCTTACTCATGGCCAGTGTTTTCTGCCGATAAAATCTCAGTTTCAAATATACTGTCCTCATGCCCAATGTTTAAAATTGCGTATTCGGGTATTGAGGCGTTTTTCATTCGTGAGGCGAGGCGTAAGCCTCAAGGCGTTTTTTACTGGAATTGTGCAAAGGCGGGCCTCAAGGCGAGCCTCATATTGCGCAATTTTAAACCATGCTCATGCCCGAACTGCACTTCCCACTGTGTTCATCTATCTTCTTTTTCATAAGCTGTTGAGCTTTCAACAAATGCCCTTTGAGTTGTGCTAGTATCACGTACCTCTCCTCCAAGTACAAAGCTACACTAGACACGGGTTTAGTGCTATGCCTGTAGTGTATTAGATGGGGTGGATCTCTCCCACACAAAATCCGAAGGGGTAGTCCGCACGACTGTATGGAAAGATGTATTATACCAATATTCCGCCCATGCTAACCATGGTCAATAATTTTGGTGTGTCAGATACAAAACAATGCACATATTTCTCCATGTTGCTATTGACCACTTCCGTTTAGCCATTCGTCTATGGGTGATATGTCGTGCTCCTTTCCAGGACCGTCCCTTGCATCATGATTAATTCCTTCCAAAAATGGTCAATGAACACCTTGTCTCTATCTGATACTATAGATTATAGAATGCCATGTAGGCGCACTACCTCTCGAATAAAGATTGTGGTCATTGAGATAACGATATAGGGATGTCTCAGCGGAATGAAATGAGCAGAATTGCTCAGCCGATCTACCACCACATATAACTGAATATTCCTCCGATCATGGCAAACCCCCAATGAAGTCTATCGTCACATCCTCCTAGACATTCTCAGGTAAAGCTAATGGTTACAGTAATCCCTCTCTCAGGACACCACACGTCCTAAATACTCTATCTATGACTGTCCGAATAAGCACTTTTTCCAGTTGGCAAACAACTGATGTTCCCTCAAGGTACCAAATATTATCTTCAAGTGTTCCGAGTGTTCTATTTTTGTCTTGCTATATATCAAGATATCATCAAAGAATATCAAGACAAACCTTTTGAGATGCAGCTGGAGCACTCGGTTCATGAGGGACTGGAAGATGGCAGGGGCATTGGTGAGGCCGAAGGGTGTCACCAGGAACTCATAGTGTCTCTCATGTGTTCTAAAGGCAGTCTTGTGCACATCATTTGCCTTCATCCTGATTTGATGGTATCCCAACTTCAAATCAATCTTGGAGAAAATTACTGCTCCAAATAACTCATCGAAGAGTTCATCAATCATTGGAATGGGGAACTTATCTAATATTGTTTCCTTGTTCAGAACTTTGTAATCCACACAAAACCTCCAGCTGACATCCTTCTTCTTCACCAATAGAACTGGACTAGAGAAAGGCTCACAATAGGTTTAATGATCCCTGCTTCCAATATCTCCCTGATCAGCCTCTCGTTCTCATTTTTCAAGATATGGGATAAAGATATGACCTGACCCCTACAGGAGAGGTTCCCTCTCCTTAAGGTTGATGGTGTGCTTGTGCTCTTGTGGCGGTGGTAACCCGGTAGGTTGCCGAAATATGTCATGAAACTGCTGCAGAATATGCTGGACCCTCAATGCGATTTCCCAGTCTCTTGTTCCTGGACCCTTTCTATGTTCGGTAACTCCACCAAGTACCCCAGGCTTGTGTCCTGGATTGTCCTGAGCATGGTTTTAAGTGATACCTATAAATCAATTTTTTAGTCTAATCAAATTGATTTGACCGGTGCATGCTCTAATCATTTCAGCAGCCCAGTTTTAGAACCATGGTTCAGATTGAAAGAAAATTGTTGAAAAAGGTTGATGAAAAGACATGGAATCCCAATTTTTATGGGTTGATTATAAATTTGCAACAACTGACTAAAATTTTCAACTTTTTTTTGACCTTCTTTCACTCGACTACCTAGCATCCAACTATAGCTTAAGGGTTTATAAAACCCGATGACCTTTATTTTAATATATTACAATAGCAATATGCCAAGTTTTTTGAAAAGATTTTTTTTTTAATTTTTAAAACAACTCGAAGTTGAATTTAGTTTGGGGAAAAAGATCAAAATAGCATCATAATTTTTTTATGAAAGATCAAAATGGCCCCCAACTATATTAAATGATCATTTTGGTCCCTCAAGTCTTTAAAAAAGAACTAAAATAGTCTCATGGTGGTACTATTTTGATTTCTCTTTAAAAAGTTGAAGAACCAAAATGGTCTTTTAATATATTTGAAAATCATTTTGGTCTTTCATAAAGAGTTAATGTGACTATTTGATCATTTTCTCATTTAGTTGTCCTTTATTAAGCTTAGATCAATATTATGATTGAACAAAGAGTACAACAACATCAAGCCTTTAACCCACTACATGGGGGCGGCTACATGAATCCTTTTTCTCCATTGTGTCATATTAAAAGTCAAATTCTCGTTTAAATCTAATAGAGAGAGATCATTTCTAATATTTTATAACCAAGTCTTTTTAGATCTGCCTCTATCTTTCTTAACATAAGTCAAATCTAATACCTCTACTTTCCTAACCGGGTCATCGGAAGGTTGCCGTTTTAAAAAGAGTAACATATATATTTTACAGTCAAAGATAAAAAAGCCAAAAAAGGCAAATGAACCCTTCCAATATGAAAGACGAGAAAATCTAACATTTAGAAGCACTTTAAGATTGGCTAATTGCTACATGCAAGTACAAATAATTAGTTTAATTAATAAAAATCTTAGAAGTTGTAGGTCATACAATCGAATTCTGCCAACATTAAATTAATGCTAAGGCACTTGTCATTCAAAAAAAAAAAAAAAGCTAGCAATTACATGCTCATGAGGGATGTATGTGATTGCATGTGTGTGTGAGAGAGTGAGAGAACGAGAAAAGAATCTGCAAAGAGAAAAAAGAAAATAACACCAATGTAGACCAACATCGAATAGAAATGGAAGAAATAGCATTCAAATGAACGGAATAAAAGAACAAATACTAGATATACCTTGAAATATGCACGTTCACATGCGTCCTTGTTCTCAAATTCTGTAAAAGAAAGCAAAGTACATATAACTAAAAAATAAAATATGGTCAATCTCCTGCACATTAAACATGCCCAATTGTTTAACTGTTTCATTCTGTCCACCAAGAATGGTTATGCCCTATTTCAATGGAAATAATTCAGAACAAATAACTTGGCAGTTAAATCGTAGTCATTAAAAAATACTTCCTAAGAACATATATTCCGAAAAATCATATGACAAAAATAAGACAAGTATGACATCTGATATTTGGCAAGCATCCAAAAGTGAGAAGAAACTGGATTCTTTAATCCTAGACTTAATTTGGTTTTAGAGAAGTTAAGAGGAAAAAAAAATGTTTATCTGATAATTATATCAAAACTTTTTGGTTTGATTATAAAGCATAAGAATTTGATTTGACGACAAAAAAAAAAAAAACATACATTTTTCTTTATCTCTGCAGAAACACCGTAAAGATAAAGTAACACTGAAGTATAAATAACATCGAAGTTGTGTTTACTCTTCAATTTATTGGTTATTCTTTCAAACTAAGAAAAAAAATACTTGTCCACTCGATTTCTCCTCCAAACAAGTGGGTTAAATCAATTTTTAATTCAATTATTTTCCTATTTTCATTTCCTTTTATCTCTAGAAATTCTTTCAAACCAAACGGAGCACCAGTGAAAAAGCAAACATGTGTAGATCCTAATTCAGAATAAAAAATAAATAAAGAAGAAAAAACATATAATTGCAAGTCATATCAAATTCCAAATTTACTCATGGAAATGCCATTCTGCTACAAACAAATAGAAATTTGGGACAATTGATTTTGTTTTAAAACATCAGAAATAGAACCGTAGAGCACCAAGATATATCGTACCACAAACGATCAATTACTACTAAAATTGTGTTGTACTCTTTCAAGTTATATAGGCCGGTAATTAAATTCATAGATAAATCTTCCTAAATTTGTAATGTAAAATGTAAAGGAGTTAATAGATCAGCGGGAGGTAAAATAGAGGGTTTTATTTCTTGGCATGGAAGACAATTATTAACGAAATTAATGACATCTTTATGGAGTTTAAACCAATAAAAATTTGTAGAGATTCATTTAATGGTTTTGAGGATACCTCGATGGCCGACAAGAGGTGTTGAATGAAATCAGTGAGAATCTAATTTTTAGAGAAGAAGACTTATTGATATAGATTCGACCTTGAAAATAGAAAATATTGTCTTGAATTTGATAATCTGAAGGAGAGAGTTCACATTTTAATAGTTGGGAAGTGAGTTGAATGATATCAAGAGATATAAGGGCTTCCTTCTTTGAATCATTGATTAATGAAAAAGAAAAATTAGTGAGTGTGGAGAGTGAAAAGGGTAGATGGAAAACGAGGGTAATCGAGATAATGAATCAGCAACTGTATTTGATTTACCTGGTTTACACTCGATGGAGAAATTAAAGCCTAAGAGTTTATGAAGAACATGTTGTTGGCCTAGTCTTTGAAAGATATGAGTTTGAAGATCACGGAGGCTTTTATGATCTGTGCGAATAATGAACTTAGTGCCTAATAGGTATTGACGCCATTTTCAAATAGCCCCAGTGATATCATATAATTCTTTCAAGTATGTAGAAGATTGGGATAGGCAAGTGTTTAGTTGTTTTGCTGAAGAAAGATATAGGAAGATTGTTTTGTAGCAAAACTACTCCAATACAATTGATTGAAGCATTAGTTTCAATAATAAATTGTTTTAAAAAATCTGATAAAGATAAAATATGGGCTTTGGTCATGGCTATTTTAAGGTTGTTAAAATCTGCATAAGCCGAGTCATTTCATTTGAAAGAGTCTTTCTTGAGAAAATTAGTTAAAGGGGATGCAATAGAAGCATAATTTAGATAAGTGACAATAATAGCCTGTTAAACCCAGGAAGGAGGGCATATGTTTTAAAGATGAATGAATTGGCCAAGTAGTCATAACTAAGATTTTTTTTTTTTTTGGATTGGGTTGGACACTTCGATAAGATACAATATGACCAAAATATTTGATGGAGGATTGACAAAATTGACATTTATTTAAATAAGAAATAGCTTGTTTGTAGTTAAACATTGAAATACAAAGAGGTGATCAAAATGAAGTTCTAGAGTAGGACTATAGACGAGGCTATCATAAAAAAAAAAAGACAAACTTTCAAAGGAAAGATCAATAAAATTGGTTCATTAAGGTTTGAAAGGTAGAGGGCACATTCATTAAACCAAAAGGCAATAAAATAACCCAAATCCTTCTAGCCTCCACATGTGCACTTCTATTCCACCAAAATATACCCAAATCCTACTGGGAGGAAGCCCTTATGACTGTCGCATATCTCATAAATAAGCTACCTTCAAAAACCTTAAAACTTAAAATACCAATGGATATTCTGTCTTTTTTTACCCTGAATTCCAAACTATAATAACCTTCCCCCTAGAATCTTTGGATGCACTGTTTATGTTCAAATTCATAGCCAAAATAGAGAAAAATTAGTTCCAAGGGCACTCAAAAGTATCTTTGTTGGATATTCATCCAACCAAAGAGGTTATAAGTGTTATCACCCCTCCACCAAAAAAAACCCTTGTATCTGTTGATGTTGCTTTTGATGAACAAAAATCCTATTTTACCAAATCTCATCTTTAGAGGGAGACTGAAATTGAGGAAAATGAGGAAAGTGAGCTTACCCCTCTTGAATTTTCAGCTCCACCTCAAACCAATTCACCTAAACTTGATGAAGAAAAAAAGAAGAGAAACCAGAAATTTTCATTTATAATCTTTTGATTACAATAGGGGGTTATTTATACTACTTTAGTAGACCAAGCTTACAACTTTACAAGATAGGCAAGGTATACCAAACACCTACTTTAAATAAAATAGATAGACTAGGTCTACCTCAACTAAAAAGAATAAAATAAAATAGTGCTCATTACGTATTTGTAGACCAACTTTTATTTTTTCAATATTAATTATTTTTGAGTTCTTCTTCTTTAGTAGACTTTCATGATTGTTGGTTGGTCATTCATTTTGGAAGCTCATTCTTCACAATTTGCTTGTACAATTTTAGGATCCAATAAAATATTTAGATGTTTAACAAAATACCACTGATTTAAGCCTAAGAAACCTATAGAAAATTCAGGAAAAATAATGCATAAAGTTAAAAGAATTTACCAATAAAAGCATAGCATAAGCTATCACCAGTTTTGTAATCACGAATAATATCAGCTCTGCAAAGTGAAATTTTTAATAAATAATGATATGTGACAATTATGTTGGTAGGCTGTAATGGGCAACCTCTAAAAGAGAATACTCACGAGGTTACAGCCCCAAATCGGGAAAAAATTGTATATAGATCCTCATCCTGCATCATAGAAATTTGGGTTCACAGTGCAGTCAATATTATATATTCAGTGAACAAGATGGACAGATATGCCCGACTATTGCTCCAGTTACAGAAAAATAATGATAAAAAAATATATCACTAACTTGAGTCACAGGATTAAGTTTACAAACAAACAGCACAGTGTCTGGTGGCTTCATCTCAGCATCAGGAATGTCTCCTATCTGAAAAACCAATTATGAGAATATGAATCAACGAACACTTAAGTATATCTACATATGAAATCAAATGGGAAGAACAGTTCATACACTCTCTAGAATCGCTGCATTAGTGTGTGCCTCTTTAGAACGAATCACTTCCTCAAGTTCTCCAGCACTTATCTTTTCATCCATGGGAACCCAGCTATCTTCCAGACGCTCTTCTGCTACCTATTATACATAGCAGATGGTAAGAATATACTTAATGTAGCTTCCATTTTAAGAATATGAGGAATATATTTGAAAACCATGGCTGCATAGTATTTTCATGAGTATCCAATTCCTATCATGACGATTGTGTGCTATAAGTAATAAGATAACAGTAAATTCATTGGTACAGAGAACTAATGTTAAAAGAGTCCACAGATTCCATCTAAGCTGATGAAGAATCTACGGAAGGAAGATGACAACTTAAGGGTGTGAGATATTTATATTTGAAAAGAAAATGGACTGATCCACTGGACATGCGAGACCATCTGATGCAAAAACATGCATAAACTCCATGGAAAAGATTACAGTACACTGCAATGCTGGTATCGGGGAAAGCTTATTAAGAAGAAATTTTAAATGATAAGTGCTACAGTTATTACAGAATGGTGGTAAAATTCTGCTAAAAAAACATGGAGAACACAGCCAATGTTCGTAATAGAAGTAGGCTAATTTGTTTACCAAATTAACAAGGATTTCCAGTTTGATCCTGAACTACAGGCAACTCAAACCACATAATTTCAAGCAAATATTTTACTTTTCAATATCAAAGATAGATTTAGCATTAATTTCAACAACACAGGGGACACGGTTTAAGAACAGAACAAATCACATGATTGATTAGTGGCACACTATAAACTGTATGTATAATTCTTTCCGAAGCTCCTAAAGGAATTACTAGATATGATAGAGGAAACTTGAACAAAAGCAAGGAATTGAATGCTTTCAGATATTCCAAGGGAGGTTAGGTCAACAGGAATTAAATCTTTTTTTTTTCTCCAATAATAAGGAAGAATCAACATCAAAAAACATATGTTGTTATATCATTTCTCAAAACTCAACACATAAATGGCCTATATAAGAGCTTCTGCAGCGCAATACATGTCAAATGCAACAGCTCTACAATCAATTCAAATAATCAGCTAAAATTGTAACTGGACTCGTAATATCCGGAGAAAAACTGTAGGGAAAGAACACCGAGGCAAATAATGGAGGGAAAGAAGAGCAAGGATACAAAAGAACACCGAGGCAAAAAACTGTAAGTTTAAACATGAATGTTTTTTACCAAAAAAATCCAAAATATGAGGGAGAACTAAACTATAGCAAGATAGCTTAAAACTTTCATGAACCGATAGAATAAGATTGAGCCAAAGATTATACAGGATTAAGAAGCTGGTTGACTAAACTGGGATAATGAAGGGGTCCAACATGCTTTATGAATTTTAAGGCGTCAATTCTTCAAAAATGCCTAGTGCTCACTTCTATAAATTTGAAAAATGGCAAACGAGGCATGGAACACCTACTGTTCTACTGCTCACTTTTATAAACTTGAAAAAATGGCAAACGAGGCATGAAACACCTAGTTCGTAGCCTGCCCCAACAGCAGTTCAAAAACACAAGATCAGTTGTAATATGAAAATTAAGTGTGGACAAATCAACATTAATTTATGCAAAACCTAGCATCTTTGCTATAAGCTAAAAAATGATCAGGGTTTTCCCATACCTCATGCTTTCCACCAACTAACAGTCTAAAATTATACAGGTTCTACTTTCTAATTTGAAACTAATGCATTTTTAGAAATCAATACATGAAAACAAAAGCTGTCCGTTGAGTGAACAAAGAGTTTAGGATGTCATAAAGTTTGGAACATTCTGAAAATATGCTAAATACTGTCAAATCAATTAAGCAGGCCCAGGTTAGGTGCTGATCGGCAAAAGATTAGAATCAACTTTGACTCAATTACAGGACACTTAATGTTTGTTCAGAAAAGAAGATGAAACTCTGGATAACCAATTAAAAGAATAAAATTAGAGCCAATCAGCTAGGATCAAAGAGATGTTGCCTAACTGGAAATCTTTAGTATATTCTTGTCTTCAGACATCTTATCTATCATTCCAAAAAGGTTAAAATCTCTCGCTCTATTAGGATGATTCAGCACTTCTACCCATACATTTTTTTTGTTCTGCTTATGTTTTACTATGTGGTCAAGTATATTACAAACAACATATTTTGAAGAGAGTTCAAATTTGATATTGCAATAAAATAACAACTCTTTTGTGTTTCTCAAACCAAAACACTTGTCAATTTTGCCAAAACCACCAAAGTATAGCTGGGATGCCTGTGCATCTAGCTTCACCGGGCTTGGTTCCTCTCCCAGCATATTTCCACGGGCAGATGTTGCAAAACCACGACTTATTTCCTCCAGCAAGGATTTTCATATTTAGTAAGTTCACATTTGACTGAAGGACTAAGATGGCCTCTTTCGTAATTTCTTGCCTTGGAACGTAGGACCTACCAAACTGTAGCCTACACATTTTTAAAAGGGTTCAAATCTCCCAGCTTGATACTTCTGATTTTACCCATACAAATTTTTTGTCATCTTTCATGTTTTACTATGCTTGCATATATAAAGCAATAGATCAATTGGAAGGGTACAACTTGGATAATGCCCACTAACAATGTTTATACCTCAATGTAATCAGCCACTACTTTTGCAGTTTTTATTTTTTATTTTTTTTACAAACCACTCTTTTTATATTTCTCTATTCAAAACCATTGTCAATTTTCCAAACTGTTAAAACATAGTTGGGATATTTGATAGGTTTTGAAAACCGGACCAGAAAAAGAACCGGAAGAATGACAGGTTCACGGTTCAATCGGTTGAACTGGAATATGTAATAAATAATATTATTATTAAAAATTATAAAATGAATAAGAAATTTTCCTCTAATAACTTCTAATTGTGCACATAATATGAAATAAATAAGCAAAATATTATAACAAAATTATGATACTTTACACCAACTGATAAGAAAAAAAAAACACATTCATAATACATATATAAAATTAATAATGTATCTTTTATAGTTTAATAGTTTTAATAATTTTACCAAAAAAAGAAAATCAAATATCTCTTAATTTGCATCGTGAAAGTTATCCTCATAAGTTGAGTTTTCATGTCCCACTTCAAAAAAATTAGCAGGCACAAATGCACCTAAATCATTGAAGTCAATTATGCTATCTCCATCTCCATCTCCATCTCCTTCATTCTCTATTTCACCTTCACCAACAAATTAAAAATATTAAATAAGAATTTATTCTTTATTTATTTAAATGATATATTCATATTTCACCTAATTTATCAGGTGTAGACCGAGTGGATGCAATGTTTACTTCTGCAACAACTAACATTACATCATATTGATATATCTTAGTTTCCATTTCCTCAAAGTCAAGATTTGCCGGTGATTCATCATCAAGCACACATAAATCTACCATTTCAACACAAGTGTAGTTCAGAGGATCATAACTTATTTTTTTAAGTTGAAACCTAAAGAATGAAAGAATAATTTTAGTAAGATTTATAAATACATATAGTATGATATATTGACACACATATTATTATTTTATAATAAGATTATACTTATTTTTTAAATTTAGATTATATAGAACATATAATAGGTCGTTCAATCATTGATGCTCCAAATGATTGCGTCTCATTGAATGAATTTGTTCAAAAACACTTTAAATTCTTTCAGAATCTAATGATGATGATGTTTGGCTTAGAATTTTTATAGCTATTTTCTGTAAGTTGGAAGCACTTGATGCAAATATCTTCTATCACTCATCTAATAATATGATATTAGATAGTTTAATAAGTATGCTTATATAATATATGTTAAAAAGGTATAAGCATTGATATTGAAAAGATAATTACCAAGTAATATTTCCTTTATCATCGTTAGAGCAATTGTTTTTTCAAAATTTTCTAAGCCATCATGAAATAATCTAACTTTATTCATTGCAAGTATGACCTTGTGACAAATGTCCTTATTTTCAAGTAGTTCAACAAAACATTGCATAACTTCTGACTTGTGACAGTAATTCTCCTTGTCGTACTTAAATTGAGAATTTAAAAAGAATGTTGCTGTATGGATGCCCTGCCTCAATTGAGTATCTCATCTTCTTTTAACTATACTAGTGAATGACTTATATAATCTTTTAATATTTTTAAATATGGCTTTGATTGCCTTCCGTGCCCTATATAATCCGTCATACAAATATCCAAGTGATAGTTTCTCATTTGAGTCAACAATGTACAATAACTTGATCAAATGACCTGCTATCTTCGAAATTGTTAGACAATCATTCCAAAACTTCAAATCTAAGATTATTGCAACTGCTTCTTTCTTCTTAAATGTTTTTGATATCTTTGAATATGCAAAAAAATTGCTAGTAATTAATGCTTGGAGGTCATATTTATGCTCACAAATATTTATTAACGTTATAAAAATTGTTGAAAATCGTGTGGCTCATGAACGTACAATTTCCTTCCAACCTGGCATTTTCCTAAGCTATGTAAGTATATAAATATAATTGTCAGCAAAAATTGTCACATTTGATGCTTTACTTGTCAAGTCCTCTATGAGAGGCATGCTGCCCAAGTCTTTTAAAATTAAATTCAAACAATGTGTTGCACAAGGTGACTAATAGATATTATTGAATCTTTCATGTAAGAACTCCCCTGCTTTTTTTTAATAATTAACAACATTATCAGTAACAAGCTGAATAATATTTTCTATCCATACTCATTAAACAACCTCAGTAAATAATGAGCACAAGTTTATAACATCCTTCATGATATCTGAAGCATTTAATGATTTTAAAAAAATACACCACATGAACAATAAATTATAAAATTTATTAATGTTCTACTCCTACCATCAGTCCATCAATCTGCCATAAGAATATAACATGTGTCCTCAAAGTATTTCTATAGGTATCAATAAGTAATCTACACTCTTATTTACAATCCTTAAATAGGTTAACTCTCATATTGTAGTAAGATGAGAACTTGTAATCAGAACCTATGACTGTTATAGCATCCAGAGCTTTCTGTGCATATGGTTAACTTAAAGCATTGAAAGGGATGCAACAATCAAAAAACCATCTTGATATAGCTATGTTTGTACGGTGGATTGCTTTTTTAGATGCTAAGATACTTTTAATTAAATGTTGCGATCCTGATTTGGTTCTTGGAGTAAAGAAAGTATTAATGTCAGCAAGTTTTTTTTTCCCTTTAGCTAGTTATGTTAAATGTGCTATAAAGGATTGTGATTTAGGTAGAGAAGATAAATCTCTTCCTTCCTCTATTTCATCATCAACAAAAATAGTGTACTGTCCAACTTATACGTTTGTTATTTTCTTTTTGAAATCTCCTTTAAATTCTGCTACAAATGATGAAGGAGAGGAACGAAGAGGCTCATCTTCTCTACCTAAATCACAATTCTCTGAAGCACATTTAGCAAAACTTGTTAAAACGAAAAGAAAACTTATTAAGATTGACACTTTCTTTGCTCCAAAAATCAAAACAGGATCGCAACATTTAATTAAAAGTGTCTTAGCATCTAAAGAAGCAGTCCACCGTGGATACATAATAATAGCAAGATGATTTTTCGATTATTGCATCCCTTTTAATGCCTTAAGTTCACCATATGCACAGAAAGCTATGAATATTATAACTATCATAGGTTCTGGTTACAAGCTCCCATCTTACCACAATATCACAGTTAATCTAATTAAGGATTATAAAGATGAGTATATAATACTTATTGATACCTATAGAAATACTTGGAAGGATATAGGTTGCACTCTTATGGTAGATGGATGGACTGATGATAGGAGCAGAACATTAATAAATTTTATGATTTATTGTCGACATAGTGTGTTTTTTTTGAAATTAGTGGATCTTTCAAATATCACGAATGATACTACAAACTTGTGCTCTGTATTTAGTGAGATTGTTGAATGGGTAGGCCCAGAAAATATTGTTCAACATGTTATTGATAATGTTGCTAATTACAAAAAAACAAAAAAATTCTTACATGAAAGATTCAACATTATCTATTATTCGTCTTATGCAGCATATTATTTAAATTTAATTTTAAAAGACTTAGGTAGCTTGCTTCTCATAAAGGACTTGGTAAGTAAAGCATCCAAGGTGATAATTTTTGCTTACAATCATATTTATATACTTGCATAGCTTAGAAAAATGCCAGGTTGGAAGAAAGTTGTACGTCCATGAGCTACAAGATTTGCAACAACTTTCAGAATGTTGAATAATATTTGTGAGCATAAACATGACCTCCAAGAATTAATTACTAGTATGTTTTTTGTAGATTTAAAGATATCGAAAACATGTAAGGGGAAAGAAACAGCTACAACAATCATAGATTAGAAATCTTAAAATGATTGATTAACAATTTTGAAGATAGCAGGTTATTTGATCAAGTTGTTGCACATTGTTGACTCAGATGAGAAACTATCACTTGAATATCTATATGACGAAATGTATAGAGTATGAAAGACAATCAAAATCATGTTTAAAAATATTAAAAAATTATATAAATAATTTATTAGTATAATTAAAAGAAGATGAGATACTCAATTGAGGCAGGGCATCCATGCAGAAGCATACTTTCTGAATCCTCAATTTCAGTACGATAAGGAGAATTATTGTCACAAGCCAGAAGTTATACAAGACTTTGTTGAACTAATTGGAAATAAGGACATTTATCTCAAGCTCACACTTAAAATGAATAAGTTCAGATTATTTAATGATGATTTAGAAAGTTTGAAAATAATTGTTATAATAATGACAAAGGAAATGCAACTCGATAATTATCTTTTCAATATCAATGTTTATACCTTTTTTAGCATATATCATATATGCATACTTACTAAGCTCTCCAACATCACATTATGTAAATTAGTGGTGAAAGATGTTTGGATCAAGTACTCCCAACATGAAAAAAATAGCTATAAGAATTCTAAGCCAAACATCATCATCATCATCAGGTTCTGAAAGAAATTGAAGTTTTTTTGAACAAATTCACTCAAACAGACACAATCATTTGGAGTATAACTGATTGAACGACCTAGTATATGTTGGATATAATCTAAATTTAAAAAATAAATATAATCTTATCATAACATAATAAGATGTGTGTCAATATATCATACTATATGTATTTATAAATGTTATTGATTTTTTTTTTCATTATTTAGATTTCAACTTAAAAAAAGAAGATGTGACCCTCTGAACTACACTTGTGTTGAAAATGTAGATTTCTGGGCGCATGATGATGAATCACCAGCAGATCTTGACTTTAGAGGAATTAGAAACTGAGATATATCAAGAGAATGAAATGTAAGTTGTTGAAGAAGTAATCCACTAACTTTAGGTTTGGAGTCAGCCTATACAAACTTTGCCTAGAGAAATGAATATGATTGAGAGTTACAGAGTAGATTAAAATTTAGTTTTCAATTTAGATTTAAAAGAACATCGAACAAGGACCGTAGTTCACAGACTCTCAAGTTTGGACAATAGAAAAAGATATGAATATATCATTTAAATAAAATAAAAAATAAATTCTTATTTAATATTTTTAATTTATTGGTGAATGTGAACTATAGAATGAAGATGGAGATGACATAATTGACTTCAATGATTTATGTGCATTTGTGACTGTATATTTTGTTGAAGCGGGATATGAAAACTCAATTTATGAGGATAGCTTTCCCGATGCAAATTAGGAGATATTTGATTTTCTTTTTTTTGAAATTATTAAAATTATTGAACTATGAAAGAGACATTATTAACTTTATATATGTATTATGAATGTGTTATCTTTTTTTTATCAGTTGATATAAATTATCATAATCTTGCTATAATATTTTGCTTATTTACTTCATATTATGTGCATAATTAGAAGGTATTAGAGAAAAAATTCTTATCCATTTTATAATTTTTAATAATATTATTATTTATTACGTCATCGGTCGAACCGTAAACCTCTCCTTCTTTTGGTTCGTTGTTCGGTCCGATTTTCAAAACCTTAAAAAAAATTTCAACTCTACTCAACAGATACGAATGAGAGGAAGAAGGGGAACTTGTTGCTTTTATTTCAATGAAGTCAAATTTGGAAGAAAGATTCAATTGTTAGAAGTTGAAGGATGAGAGAAGAAATTTGCGCAACCTAATTTCTAAAGTTAGAAATGAAAGAAAGAGGGGGTTGCTCGTTGATTGTGCTTTTTCGTTCAACAGTAAGAAAGAAGAATGTGAGCTCATATTGTTTCAATTGGATTTCTAAAATTAAATTATAGAGAGGGATACAATAAGTGAATTCTCTATTATTAGTGTAGAAAAGAAGAAATTATAATTTCTATTTGATTTAATTAATTTAGGTGATTACGTTTGACATGGATGAAGTAGAAGAAGGTTCAATCTATGCGATCTAAATTAGAAAAAGATGAAGAATAATTAGAGGCAATCAAAGGAATTCAATTAAAATGCTTTTTTAGTCATTTATGAATGAGTAATACACAAAAATATAATAAAGCATGTGATTTAATAATTAAATGCATGAAACCTTAGTACGATAATCCTACGGGCTATGGAGGCAATGTGACTTCAGCATGATGAAGCCTAGGGCTAGAGATGACTTGGACCTAGACATCTTGGCATGATATAATCTTACATTTAGGAATGACATAAAATTTGAAAGGAAAGATTTGCAATTAAATGAAACATCTATATGATTAAATTCAGGATTAATTATTTAAAATAACTAACATGATGTTACTAAACCTTGTAAAATTTTGATTGGTATTTTATCTTTTTTATTTAGGTGAGCATATTAATATTATATGTTCTTTAGATACAACTTTTTGAAGTTGATCCAGAAAACCTCCAATTAATCCTCCAAACTATCTACCATAGCAATCACTTGAAAGCAAGACTATCACTTAGAAAACAATGAAAATTCTTGAGGTCTTCCTCTTTTAGCTTCTATTTGCACGCTTCCAAAGAAAGATCCTCAAGGAATATTCACATCAAACACTTGGGTGTTTCTAGTAAGATTATTCCAAAATGATTCCAAATGCCTTTTTTCATATCAATTTTCTCAAAAATCACAATGAATTTCTTAGCAGGACACTTCTCATTGAATTCTCTTCTATATAATAATTGTACGGCTTGCAAGACCTATATTTTTTTTCTATCCTACAAAAGAAAGTAATAGTTATTATCTGAAAGAGATTTTCAGTAATTGAAGGTAAAACATCCATCCAGCAAGCCAAAAAAAGGCATGCATCCAATATAAGAAATTGAATAGAATTCAGGATACAAATCCTGAACTCTAGATCCTAAGTATACAGGATGAGCGTCCTGCATTTGTTTCAATGAATTTAGTTTGACGCAAACCTTCAAAGCAGAACACTAAGCAAAGTCATTAGCCATAACGAATGGGAAGATTAAAAACTTAAGTCCATGCCACACAAAGTTGAATCATTCTTGTCCCGATTCCACAGCAGCACAAGGCCCACAGAGAACCAAACACATATACAGCAGAGTACATGTTATGGTATACATGACCGCAGAAGTTCAGCCATATTATATTTAGAAAAACATCACATGATAGCTGAGATGTCAACTCACACAACTCATCAGCCCACAAAAAATAAAGAATAGTTATTCATAACATATATTTAATATCCTTCAGAAAACTATTGAAGGTACCTCTTCAGGTGGTTTTCCCTCTGGGGATTTCTCAGGAACAAATTCGGCAAGTTGAGATGGATCATCAAAGGGATCATCCAAAATATATGTATGCTTGATTCTGTCACATACCAACATCAAATTTATTGGTTAGGGATTACGATGAAATTATCAGAATAATCATAAGAAATCACTATTGATAATCAAAAGTGCCTTAAACATCGTGCTCATGAAGAACCCTTATCATAGAATTATAAAAGCCTTTAAAGTTGAAAACAAACCTTTATATTAACAAACCTCTTCAAAAGAAAAGTTTACACAACAGTTTTAAATCAAATCCACATTGTAAAAGATAATTAAAAAATGCACGAGTAATGCAAGCAACAAAGCTAGTAATAGGACAAATGGATAAAAAAAAAAGCAGAGCTTATAAAGAACCCTTATCATTGAATTGCAAAATAATTTTAACGTCCACCCTTATTATAAGCAAACCTCTTCGAAAGAAACTCTTATACAAGCGTTTTAATTCAAATCCTTACTTCAAAAGATGATAAAAAAGGGAAATGCATGAGGAATAGGGCAAGTACCTATGCTAGTAGTCTGATAAATGGGCAAATAAAGCAGTACCATAGAATATACCAAAAAATAATCATAAAAAATATTCGACAATAGTACTATAGTCTCATGTCTTCTGCTGCATGGCACATCAGTGATGAACCAAGAATTCAATTTTTTCACGTTGCAAATATGCCAATAATACATGGGCAAGCAGAAAAATATTTACAAATGAGGGAATTATTTACCATAGGCTCAGATTATATAATAAAGATAAAATTTGAAGTACACTGAATGTGTGTGCGTAAGTTTTCCTAAATTAATGATTATCCATATATTCCTACTTACTATTTCATCATAGGAGCTCATCACCCAGAACGTGAGAAATTAAGTCAAACCCTTCGTAAAACAGTAAATTATAAGACATTTCATATCAGATTAAAAATAAACAAAGATTAAATTCTAGGACATTGTATGAATGTGAATACTATGCATTATTTATGTGCAAATGCATGTTCCTGCATCTCGTATGAGGTAAGACCAAACTAAAGATAAAAGTTAAGTGAACGATAATTTTCTTCAAGTCATTATGCCCTCTAATTTTTCTTTCTTTAAAGATTATTGTCTTATTAAAATTTAATTTAATTTCCTTTTATACTTAGGAAAACTAAATAGCCTATTTAACCTTCGATCAAATCATTGGGTTGAATCGATCAATTAAGAGTAAGCTAGACCTGAATTAAAGTAAAAGATTATGATAATGTTACGACCGGTCTAGTAGGACCGGCCTTCTAGCCGGCCCAACAGCAAGGGGGCGGACCAGCTACAAAGGGCGGAACATTAGGAATTTCGGCCACTCTTATGGGCCCCAGTAAACCAATTATTTCATATGCTATGAGGATTAAGAAAGGAATTAATGAAGTGAATATGGGAATTTGAATTCAAAATAAGGAGGAAATTAATTAAGGAAAGAGAGATCTTTTAGGGTTAAATTGGGAAGAAGAGTAGGGGTAAATATATAGGGATTATTATTTTGTATTAGGGTTATGTTTAGATTGAGTTTTTCAACTGCAGTTTTCCTATGAGGGCTTCTTGGAGTCGTCTACGACTAGGTCGATCGGGAGAGACGATCTACATCTCTAATTGTAAATCGCTTGTATATTTTGTTTCTTATTGAGTTATTAATCAAAATCAGCCAATTGTTCCTCCTAAAGTTGCTATTTTTCTATGAATTTCCTGCTGTTGCATGCTGAATTTGACCCCAAGGCGTATCAAATTAGTATCAAAGCAGTGTCCTGGGTAGAAAGTTAAAGTCCCCATTGTTGATTTCTGCTGAAATTTTTTCCACCTTGCTGATTTTCGTTGTTTGAAGGCTAAAATCTGTGAATGGAAGCAAAGAAGATGGAAGCTTTGTAAAGCGTGATGGGACAAGTTAGGGCTAAGAAGCAGGAGAAACATTCCGGGATGGAGGAAAGATTTTCTGGATTGGAGGGAAGGTTCTCCTCTATGGAAAGTCATTTTGGAAACATGTAAGGCATGATGAGAACATTGATCGAGATGCAATCGAAGGCTTTGACTATAACTCCTAGGGCTGATTGGAAAGGGAAGAAAGTTCAGGAGGAGGAAGATGAAGTGGAGAGCATTTTTTCCTCCAGGACTACCTCAAAGGATTTCGAGGAGAACTGCATCGAGGTATCCGAAAGAAAGGGCAGCATGAAGGGGGGAGAACAAACCCTTTTGGAGGCCACCCAAGAAGGAAGGGAGGTGGACTTAAGGAAGCAACAGCGGGGCCGAACCATGGGTTCAAATCCTCCAAGGGAAGAAAGGAGAGAATCGAACTACCACTACACAGGAGGAACTAATGGAGGAAGAAACCATTGGGGTATGGATGCGAGGTCAAGAAAGCTAAATATGCCAGTTTTCGAAGGAGAAGATGCTCAAGGTTGGGTGTACCAGGTGGAGCGTTATTTTGCGATTAATGGTCTGATGGAAGGAGAAAAACTGATGGCAGCAGGGCTATACTTGGAAGGAAAAGCCCTAGCTTAGTTTTAATGGAGAAAAGCTAGGTATCCAATCTATTCATGGGAAGAATTTAAGGATTGTTTGTTAGAATGTTTCCGAACCATTCGAGAAGGGAACCTCCACGAACAATTCTATGCCTTAACTCAAGAAGGGACAATCATAGAGTATTGGGAGAAATTTGAGTTGCTATCTGGTAGACTGGGGTGTTATGGTTGATTGGGGGCTGGCTTTTTGAGCACCTGATTGCTCGGTTCCTGAGCATGCCGTGCTCTTTCCTTGGTGTATGTTGGGCTCCAGGCTGTTCCTTTTCTGGCTCAGTTTTTTGGGCTAGTCGTGTCCTTTTCTCTTTGATTTTTCCTCTGTTTTGATTAGCTGTTTGGGGCAGTTGTTTTGGGTGACTATTGGGTTTCTTTCCCTATATATATGGGATGTTAGCTGCTGTTGGGAGGTTGTTAAAGTGGATATTTGTCTCTAAAAACCTGAGGGTTTTCTTCCAAAGCTTGTGAGCTTCTTCCCTACTTCTTCTTCTAAGTCTTCTACCTAGTTCTTCTCTACACAAGTTACCCTTCCATTGTATCCTTCTTCTTAAATTTTCATAAGTTGTAGTGTGCCTTTGTTTTAATATTATTATTATCTTGTTTATATTTATCTATATTGTAAGAAAGGAAGGTTGTGTCTTTGCGCTATTATTTTGTTGCATCAATTTGATATCAGAGCCCTTAGTTGTCTTCTATTCTTCCTTTCTTCTTTATAAAAATATGGATAATCAACAAGCTAAATGGCAACATATGTTTATGCAACAACTGGTTAACCTACAACAACAAATGGAAGCAATGACTAATACCCTGGCTGCACTAAGTCCAAACGACAAACCTATTTTGAAACAAAATGCGGAATCCAATAGGGTGAAATCTATATTCCAACAAGCATATTCTAGTTGTCTGCAAAACTCACTTTGGAGAACGCCTATTGATGAAGTTGGTTCTTTAATTAATCCTGATTCAATTCATAATCTTTGTAGTAAGTTACCATTTTTTCCTCCTGTGAAGCAACATCCTAAAAAAAAAAGTGCAGGCAAGTTATGCTCTTCAAGATGCTCAGTTTACTATTTATCTAATCGATTATATTGTGGATAAATTTGATACTCAAACAGTAGACAAAGTTGAAATCGTGGATAGATTGGTAGCGTGTGAGGAACAATGTATTAAAAAAAGAGCGAGCTGCAAACACCGACTGACAAAGAGGTGCAAGACCATGAAAGGCACAATGGAGAAACTGTTATTCTTGAAAGTCAATTTGATGAAGCAATGTTGCAGTATGTTGATCAACCTATCTACAGCAAAATACCGCTGAATGAAGTAAACATGGAAGAAGAGAAGGTGAGGCAGCCAGAAGAACTACAATTGGGAACAACGGCCATGGAGGAAGTTGTTGATAAAGCCTTTATAGATCATTAAAATATTGAAGGAAACATGCAACTTATAGAGGATGAACAACTTGAATTGATGAATCTAGCTGCATCAAGTAAAGGTTTATCATCCATTATTTTCCTTGACAAGTATACTTTGGTTAGCAATCTTCTCTCAAAAGATGTTGAGCTTTTTGAAAGAGCTGGTTCAATCACATATCATGTTAAACCTTAATTTGAGAAAAATTCTTCCATTGTTAAAAAGATATTAACAAGCGCTGCTAAAACCAAACAGTTGTGTGAGACTTCGTCCCTTATTGTTCCTAATGATGTTGTGGATATCTGTACAACCCAAGAAAAACATGGAATGCACCAACGACTTTTGCTTGGATGAAATGGACGTCCCCCTGACTGACTGTTGAAGATGAAGAGTTATAGCTTCATCATCCTGATATCTCTCGGCAAATGATTGAAGCGTTCTCATCAGGAGATGAGATTCTCCATCTGGGGAAAATTGATGTAGGCAAAAAAAAATATTTCCTTGGGTATTAAATGTTGGGCTGAAATTAGCTAAATGGGCTTGACCCATGACTCTTTGGTTGTTTGGTGTTTGGGGTGTTATGACTGATTGAGGGCTGGCTTTTTGAGCACCTAGCTGCTCAGTTCCTGAGCATGTCATGCTCTTTCCTTGATGTCTGTTGGGCTGCTGACTGTTCCATTTTTTGCTCGATTTTTTGGGCTGGCCGTGTCCTTTTCTCTTGGGTTTTCCCTCTGTTTTGGTTGGCTGTTTGCGGCGGCTATTTTGGGTGACAATTGGATTTCTTTCCCTATATATATGGGATGTTGGTTGTTGTTGGGAGGTTGTTAAAGTGGATATTTGTCTCTAAAAACCAGAGGATTTTCTTCCAAAGCTTGTGAGCTTCTTCTTCCCTACTTCTTCTAAGTCTTCTTCTACCTAGTTCTTCTATTCACAAGTTACCCTTCCATTCTATCCTTCTTCTTAAATTTTCATAAGTTGTAGTGTGCCTTTGTTTTAATATTATTGTTATCTTGTTTATATTTATCTATATTGTAAGAAATGAAGGTTTTGTCTTTGAGCTATTATTTTGTTGCATCACCAATGCCCCTATCACCTTACAGTAACTTATGAACCAAGTGTTCCAGCCATACCTTCGAAGGTTTGTCCTAGTATTTTTTATGGCATTTTGATATACAGTAGAACACTTGGAGCACTTAAAGACTGTCATGGAGACATTGAAGGAGCATCAGCTATCTGCTAACTAGGAAAAGTGAACTTTTTGACTATCAAAAGTGGAGTATTTAGGGCATGTGGTATCCAAAGAGGGGGTCAGCTGACCAGTCCAAGATTCAAGCCATGGTGGACTGGCATCTTCCTAAGAATTTGAGGGAGCAGCAGGGGTTCTTAGGGCTCATCGGTTACTACCAAAAGTTTGTGAAGGTATATGGTACCATAGCAAGACCTTTAAAGGAACAATTGAAAAAAGATAATTCCAAATGGGTTGAGGAAGCAACCCAAGCGTTCCAAGAGTTGAAGATAGCGATGATAAGTGTACTTGTGTTGGCACTTCCAAATTATAGGAGACCCTTTGTGGTGGAGATGGGTTAGGAGCAGTACTCATGCAAGAACAGAGACCTATTGCATACTTTTGCTAGTTTCTCACAACCAAGGCAAGGCTCAAGTTGGTGTATAAGTGAGAGTTGGTAGCGATTGTCTTAGATATTCATAAATGGCGGCCTTATCTATTGGGGAGATATTTCATAATCAAGACATATCAGATGAGCCTGAAGTTTTTGTTAGAATAGCGGATGGTCACTGAGGAGCACTAGGGATGGCTATCCAAGTTACTTGGATATGATTTTGAGATTCAGTACCGACCAGGACTAGAAAATAAGGCAGCAGATGCCTTCTCTAGGAGAGGCAAGGGACCTCAGTTGGCGGTCTTGTCATTACCATTGATGGTAGATTGGGAGCATTAAGACATGAGAATTTGAGGAAGATCAGAGAGGAGCTGTTGAAGGATCCTAATAGTCACATAGGTTATGTTTTGAAATAGGGACATATACTATACTATGGGAGGCTTGTGTTACCTCGAACCTCAGGATATATTCCCAAACTGCTGTAAGCGTTCCATGGCAGTGTGATAGGTGGGCACTTTGGAGTTGAAAAGACATATAGTTGACTTTTAGCTTAGTTATATTGGGTAGGGATGCGTTGCTATGTAGATAGCGGGGTAGCCAAATGCGATGTGTGAAAAAGACATAAGTACCTAGCCATGCCGCCAACAGGGTTACGACAACCCTTAGCCCTACCTAAGAGACAGTTCACAACGTTCCACCTTGAGAACAAGGTGCATTTTTGGGAAGATAGTGTTGTTAAGACAAGTCCAGTAGGACCAATCCTATAGCCGGCCTAGCAGCCTATGATGCACGAACATGGACACGACGACACGGACACGACACGACACAGACACGGTTTTTTTTTAAAATATAGGACACGGGTACAGCGCAGACACGACAATACATTTTTTTATATAATGTATATATATTAATGTTATATCATATAAAAAATGACAAACAATAATAAATGAATGACATGATAATTTGTCTAGCTTATAATATAAAATATTTAGTACAAAATATCTAATACAACAAAAAAAATATAAGCGAATAATCACTACTGCAACATCAAGAATTCAAGCTTCAACTACTAGGATTAGCTTTAGAGGTTTGTTTTTGGCCTTCAATATCATCATCATTGAATATCACTGCTTTCAACTCTGGTTCAACAAGAGAAAGATTTGTAATTGTACAAAAAGAGAGGAGATAAAAATACCTTCACTGCCAAAGAGAAATGAAAATGAGAATATTCGATGAATGGGCATTAAATGCAGACATTGATTTGGTGTTGTGGATAGGAAATAAGAAATTTAGTTTAATTCTCGCCAAACATAAGAAATTAAATTTAAAAAAATTATAAAATATTTAAGATACGCATGTCGGACACGCGTATCCAATTAGTTTTTAATATTTTTTTAACCGGACACATTTTTGGAGTGTCCGACACGTGTAGGAGGAGTGTCGGACGAGTGTCGTGTCGGACACGGTGTCGGACATTGCACGCCTCTTTGAGGAGAAGTGTCGGTGCATTATAGCTAGCAGCAAGGGGGCGAACCACCTACAAAGGGTGGAACATCAGGAATTTCGACCCTCCTTGTGGGGCCTTGCAAGCCAATTATTCCATCTGCTAGGAGGATTAAGGAAGGAATTAATGAAGGGAATTTGGGAATTTGAATTCAAAATAGGAAAGGAATTAATTAGGGCAAGAGATATCTTTTAGTGCTAAATTGGGGGGAAGAGTAGGAGCTTATATAGGGCTTATCATTTTGTAGAGTTATGTTTTGTTTGAATTTTCTATTGTGGTTATTTTGCAAGGGCTTCTTAGCAGCGTCTAGGTTGATCGGGAGAGACGATCTACCTCTAATTATAGATCGCTTGTATCTTTTGTTTCTTGTTGAGTTATTAATCAAAACCAACCAATGGTTCATCCTAAATCTGTTGTTTTTGTTGTTTTTCTGCAAATTTTCTACTGTTGCTTGTTGAATTTGACCCCAAGGCGTAACAGATAATTGTTTGTGTAAGTTAAGTAGCGTAGAAAAATATTTATTTGAGACAACTTTCAAGTTGACTCCAATAAGGACATAATAGCATATGATGTGTCAAGTTCAAGTTGAATTGAACAAATGTCAGTGAGCCATCCTCAAGTTGAAGAAAATGGATTTGGATTTAAGTCATTTAAAGTTTGAGCAACTATAGAGTGAGTTCTAAGTTTCACACATAATTGTTAGCCATGAACAAATCATATATCTTCCAATCCTTTATGCTTGAACCTGGTCAAATACACTTTCAACACCACATGCTTGGATCACTGAAATTCAAAGAAGCCTCCTTTATAAACAAATACACCTAACAGCTCCTCTTGTCAAAACAAACAACTCGCTGCCTGGCAGCTACGGCACCACCTGCACTGTCATCGCTATATGCAGCAATCAACTCCCAATTTGGGTGACTAAAGTCTAAAAATATGTACCCTTTGTGAGAGTCACCGCCATTCCTGTACAGTCTGTGAAATGTTGCAGTTTTGCGAGAAAAATGGACTGATTTAAGTAGTGTAAGAAATGAAGGACATAAATCAAACTGCCCAGAATTTTTAATTGTTATATCTGAGATTCCAAATATATATGAATTTTTTTAAACATAATGACACTAAATATGTTAATATAAAACTTCATTAACTTCACTGGTGATCATGACTCCATAAATCTGCAGTTCATCAGGATCCCTCCAATATAAGAATGGGGAGGGATTTACATACGGGGGTTTCCCTTTGCATTGTAAAGAAAGTTATTTCCGCATATTAAATTCATGATCTTCAAGTCACCAAAAAAAATACATGCTAATCATTGCTACAGGCCTGCAACATAAGTCTACAAAAGCCAACGGCATCAAATCCAAAAAAATAGGCAAAATTAGAAGGCTTGAAAGACCTTTAAAAACAAGTTGACTCCGCCACAACACCTAATTTTATCTGGGGATACAAGTCATAGATGCACAGGGAGCAATATGATTTAAATCACAGAAGTAGGGACAGTTTGTAGAAAGATAAGCCAAATATTACACAGCAAGAAAACATAATATGGATCTAGTATCATAAAGCTGACCTGATGTCCTTGAAAGGTCTACCTTTAGCATCAACATAGGATTCATTTATTTTTACTAAGCTATCTAAGCTTTCTTTCTCTTCAACAACACCAAACACCTAGATCAATTAAGTGGAGAATGTACATTGTTCAAGGCAGAACTCTGACAAAACAGAACAAACAAAGCTAGCCACAAGTAGTCTTACCGTGTGCTTTCCATCAAGGTAGTCTATTTCATCTCGCAGTGTAATGTAAAACTGGCAAAAAGTTGTTGGAAATTACAATTAAGTGATGAGAAAAACAAATAATCATGTACTGCAGTAAAAAGATTTTTCAGTGCAACAGAACATGTAGGATAGAAAAAATTGGAAAGCATAATTTCAATGCAAAGCCATCTAGAGTAGCAATATTTATTTGACATAAAATATTAAGCATAAGGGTTGCCGACTACAATCAACTTGATATCCTAACAGGTCGCTTTGTTCTGAAAGCCATTGGCTTTACCAGCATTAACCAATTTCAATAATTATTGAAGGATCCTGAAACTCACTAGTAAATCAAACTTAGTAGGGATCCTTGATCACATGGCTTAAGGGTTCTACTATTGAATCTATCCTCCTATGGTCCTTAGATTGCAATATATGTACCTTGTCCTCCTATTCTAGCCGCCAGACCCTCTTGGGCATTTTCCTTTCTCTATAAATAACTTTAATTTATCTCTAATGTAAGCCTTTTGGAGAAGTTGATGAATACTTCAACACTTTGTACATAAACAAGTAATAAAATTCAAAAGAATGATTTTCAACTTTTTTAATTTTTACACTGTATCAAAGAGAGGTTAGGGTTTTCTTCGTAAAACCTTTGTTCTTTCTTATTTCTCTCTCGTATTGTCGAGATTCTTTTTTATCTTCATTGTGGCTAGTTTCTTTGACTTTTCTTCCAAGGAGTCAACCATCATAAATGGTGGAAATCAAACTAAAAGAGAACTCTAGGGGCTACAATCCTCATATTGCCTAAATGGAAGAAATTATTTAAAATACCCAAATTATGAAGACCTTTTTAAAAGGAAAGAGAAAGATCTATAATCTTATGAATCCTCATCAAAAGACAAAACAATAAAAACATTGTGCTTTTGGGTGAAGCAGGTAGCACAATTATGATATGGTTGTGGAATAACATGTTGGCATAAATCAATGGGTCATATATGCTTCTCTCAATCGCAGGAAGTTTGAAATGTTATCAAAAAAACGTAAGCAAAGGTGAAGGATGATGCCCTCACCTATGAGATTAAAATTAAAATGTCAGCAATCAACTAAGATAACATTTCTGTTATTAAGCACTTTAATGCAATGAAGGTTTATTAGCTTGAGCTCGATTATTATCAATATTTCAAGATGACATGGTGCAATGATGCAACAATTCATAAGTAATTTGTAGAAAGAGAAATGGTGTTTGAGTTCCCTGTAATACTCAATAATGACATCAGTCTAGTTCATATCGAAATCTTTAGTAGAGAAAATCTATCATAATTAAATGAGATTTTTTCTCTCTCATACGAACTCAAGAAGGAAGAAGGACGGTAATACTCAATACTCTGATACTCAATACTCCGATATCCAAAATATCTACCATGACAATCACCAAACCCTAAGGAAAGGGACTTACTGTTACAAGCTCTTTCCACAAAAAAGGACAAAAGCTTTCTTTCAAAAGCAATCTATGGTGCAACTACTGCAAGAGGAAAAGACAAAAAAAAACTACTAAAAACTCCATGGAAAGCCCAAAGCTATGGTGGAAATAAAGAAGATCACTGAAAAAATCAGGCCTATTTTGTGGAATTACAATGGGCTCAACTAAAAAAATTGACAAACTTAGGAACTTCCTTACTATTTGGAAAAATCATCTGTATCCTGCTATCTCACTTAAAATGGTATAACCTCTAACTCTTATGTTTTTAGTAACTTAAATAATTTTCCTCATAAATAAGTTTTAAACTTAGGAACCATTGATCACATGACCAACTTTACCAACCTTTTTCAAACCTACAAATTCTGCCCTAGCAATTGTAAAAATAAAAGTAGCCGATAATTCTCTAACAAATGTTCCAGGTCAAGAAAATAATTTAAATCTCTTTACATTTACTCTGAGTAATATACTAAATTTTTTCATCTAACAATAAATCTTCTATCAATCCATAAAAATTTAAAGACCACAACTACAAAGTAACTTTTTTTACTAAGCATTATGTATTTCAGAACCTCACTACAGTGAAGATGATTGGACAAGCTAGAGAAAAAAAATATGTTATATCTTCTTGAAAATGAAAATCACTTATCATGTTCTTTAATTTTCACCCCCATCATAAACAACGCCTGAAAATATAATTACATGTTACGGCATTTCTCTTTCAAAACACTATAATGTTTGTCTTATTCTCTTTTTTTGAATATAAAGATGAAAAAGTTTCATTGTAAGACTTGTAAAATTATCAAACATCATCATGTTATTTTTTCTAAAAGTGATTTTGGATCCTTTGCTCCTTTTCTTACCATTCTCTTTGACATTTTGAGACCTTTCAAAATCCCTAATATTTTTGGAGCTACAATATTTACACCTTTATTAATAATTGCACATACTATCAAGCAAAAATATGATGTTAACATTATTCTTCTCATTTTTGCTATTATGATATATAAATTATTCATACCAATGTCAAGATATTTCAGACTGATAATGCTCGTTATTACTTTAATTACGCATTATCATCTTTCTTTAAAAAAATGTATCATTCAACAATTCTCCTATTCTGGCACTCCCAAACAAAATAGAGTGGCAGAAATAAAAAATCTATATTTTATGAAAGTCATCAGGAATTTTTTTTTAGAATCAAGGTCAAAAAAAAAATTGTGGAGAAACAACTCTTACTACCACATACATAATCAATAGAATACCCGCAAGTGTGATTGTATTCAAAATTCCTATAAATTATCTATGTGAAGTCTCCCCCCACAAATAATTTGATGCCACTTGGAAGGAAAAAAAAAAACAAATTAGGTAAGAAAAAAATGCAGGAACACAAGTATGGGGGCATATTTATCATTATTCTAACAATAATTAAAGGTACAATTGATCTACTATTTGAGAGGTAGAACGGCTCTCTCACAAACTCTAGCTGCCACTAGGAACAACTTCAAGAAGAAATATAACAAACACAATCTCATAATGAAAGTAAAACAACCAAATCAACCCTAATTTAATCCTTCCTACTTCCCTCCCAAATCTGAATTCAAATCAAACCGCTTTCCCCAAATAAAATCTTTCCTAATTCAAATCAGCACTCTTTCCCTAAATAAAACATTTCCTAAATCAAATCAGCCCTCTTTTCCTAAATTAAAACCATCCTAAATAGCTCCTCATTGATTCCTCCTTAATAAATAATAGATCCCCTAGGCCCCACAAGTGGGGCCGAACTTCCCCCTCCTACTGCCCAAAGTTTCACCCAGCCACATGGCTAGTTCGGCATAGGTTGGGCTGATCGACTGGGCTAGTATGGGTTGGTCGTATCAATACTCCCCCCCGGTCCCGCTCCGACAAAAAGAAGCACCTTGTCCCTCAAGGTGGAAAGATGAGAGCGGACTCCTGATCATCTCATATGGCTCCCATGTGGCTTTCATACTCCGACAAATCCTTCCACTTGATTAGTACCTTCTATGTTTCTATTTTTCCTCGGCGCACCCTTTCTACTTCTAAGGGTTACAAAATGACCTCCATGTCTTCTATCAAAGTCGAGGGTAGTGAAGATGGCATGTATCTACTATCGCACAACTCAGCTATGATACATGAAATACTTGATGCAATGCTAACAAAAGTGGTAATCACAGTTGATAGGCCACTGCTCCAATGGGCTTCAAAACCTCATAAGGTTCAAAGTATCATGAGGACTATTTTTAATTCCTACTCTTGGTTAGTGTCTTCTGCCGGTAGGATCTCAGCTTCAAATAAACTATATCTTCTAGCTCGAATTGTATTTCTCTCTTGTGCTCATTAGCCTTCCTCTTCAGGATTTGTTCAGCCCTAAATAGATGTCCCTTGAGCTCTACTAATATCATGTCCTTCTCCTCTAAGTGCTGCTCTACACTGGATATTGATGTAGTGTTATACCCATAATATATCAAATGAGGTGGATCTCTCTCATAGAGAATCTTGAAAGGGGTGATTTGTGCTGCTGAATGGTACAAAGTGTTATACAAATACTCAACCCTAGCAATCCACTTTACCCAACTCTTCAGTATATCTAATACAAAGCATAGCAAATAAGTCTCCATGCTTCTATTGACCACCTTTGTCTGGCCATTTGTTTGGGAATGGTATGTCGAGCTTCTCTTCAGGACTGTACCCTATAAATGGAATAGCTTATTGCAAAAATGACTGCGGAACACCTTGTCACTATCAGACACAATGGATCCTAAAAATCCATGAAAGCGCACCACCTCCCGTAAGAAATCAGTAGTCACAGAGACCGTGGTGTAAGGGTGCTTTAGAGAGATGAAGTTTGCATACTTGCTCAGACGATCCACTACTATTAGTATCATAGAAAATCCCTCCAAATGCAGCAACCTCTCGATAAATTCCATTGTCACCTCCCCCCACACTCTTTTCGGCAGAGTTAGAGGCTGAAGTAATCCTCCTGGTATTATGGCCAACATGTGTCGCCGGCATATATCACATATTGCCACCCAGTCCTCTACATCTCGGTGCATCCCCACCAGTATAATTCTGCAGACAGACGACTGTAGGTTTTCTAAACTCCTGAGTGCCCTCCAACTACATTGTGCATCAGTCTCCACCACATATGGTCTGCTAAATCAGGAAATGATAATATTGGCATGCTGGCCATGGCTTTGTTCAGCTGCTCCAAGGCATATGTTGATGCATCCCCCCAATTGAAATCGTCGTTCTTCAGCTGCTTAGTCAGTAACCATGTTATCATGCCATTCCCTCGCACAAACTTTTGGTAGTACCTGATAAGACCTAAGAATCTTCTAAACTCCTTCAAATTCTTAGGTAAAGGCCAATCCAACATAGCCTCAATCTTGAACTAGTCTGCGGCTACCCCTGATCTGCTCACCACGTGTCTTAAGTACTCCACATGTGGCTGTGCAAAGGCACATTTCTTCAGGTTGTCATATAGTTGATTCTCCCTCAAAGTCTTCAGTGCAATCCTCAGGTGACCCATATGCTTTGCCTTCGTATGACA